GCTTTCCCTGTCTCCCGGACCTTGGCCTGTGTTTTGTGCCTGGTGCGGTGAGGTGGAAGGAAGAGTTGTGCTGGGAAAACCGTTTGAGAATATCTCGGCTACACAGGCCAGGTTAGAAGAGGCGAGGGGTGAAGATCAGCTATGACGGCGATTGGAGGTCAGCGATAATAGGATAGCCTTGGTGGCTAGTGGGCGGCGGACAGCGAGCGATGTATAATGATCTGCAAGCACAGGGAAAGGGCAAAAAGAAGGGCAATCGAGAGATCGAGAGGGCCCGTGGGTCACAGTATACCGGAGCAGGAGGGTACGATACAAGTAAAACCACCGTGAAAAGGTTTGTGGGAAAGGTGGAGTATCGCGATGGGCGTCGCAGTTCTCGAATACCTGCCGCGGCTGGGGTGGATAGAAAAAGAGAAACAGTGGGCAGGCGGAGTGGGGGACGAACCTGGAGGAAGGGGACGCCCAGGAAGGATTCGATCACTGAGGGGGTTCGCCCACGACCCTGACAGCGCTAGGCTTAGCGGGCGAGTGAGCGTGCTTAGGGGCGGGTGGGAGGCGAGGAGGACGAAAACTTGTGCAGGCCGCGACTCCAGTCAGGGCACGGCTGCTGGGCTGTGGAGAAAATGGCCTAGGCACACGAAGAGCAGGTTCAAACAGCCAACCACAAGCCCGGGACTGCAACCAACGCGCCAGTGCTTTCCTGGCTCCCGAAGTGCGCTGAAATCACTGTTAGCAATACATTGAACACGTTCCCGAACGGCTGTGCAGGGCAATCCTAGAGACAAAGGACTGCTGCTATTGCCCGGGACCCGAGTTGCTTTTAGCTGCATACGAGGAGCCTGCTTCCTGCCAGCCAAGGCACGGTCAGCAGCTCGTTGTGACTGGCCTGGAACTGCACGGATATACACAGTCGCCCTCGGAGCGAAGCGGGCTGGCCGGACAGCAGCAACCCGCGTGGGAGGACTGATGGGGCAACCCTGCGCAATCAACTGAACTCACTTTGCTGACCAGAGAAGAGGGGTTTTTCGCGAGTGCACGTTGGCCGGAAAGAATATCAGCGAGTCTTCACCTGAGGCGAGAATTGCCGTCCACAGAATTGCTCGTTCCTGGGCGATATAAGTCTTTAGTAGGCCTCCTGTACAACCACGACCCAACGTTGGCTTCCGCAGAGGTCTTCACGACAACAGCGGCCCTGGTCGGAGTTCATCAGCTTGGCTGCCGCCGGATATAAAAGTAGATTGTGGGGAAATGACTTCCCGATCATGGACGGGCAGTCGTCCATCACTCCGTAGAGCACCCACAACACCCAGTGCGTGGCCAGTACCCAGTACCTTTAGTGCCGTAGATGATTCGCCTACGCAAGAGGTATCCGATACTTAAGGTTGTCTCATCTCTTTCTCACGAGATATCAGATCGAGCATGATTACCTTAGCACACTGTTCCCAATCCTCCATATTCGAACACTCAAACTCAAACCTGCCTCGTCATTTCCACGAGATATTGTCCTCTTAGATGCCGACCACGAATCCTGCCGCCACAGGCTGATGTGACCATAGTTGCACGTCTGTGTTACCGGCCGCGACGCAGCTTGTCACCAACCCTGTACTCGTCCCTCACTTACCGGCGCAAACATCCTGCTGTAATCCCACGTCCGCCCACTGCACCGACCATGCAAGCCTGCAAGCCTGCAAGCCACACAAAGGAAAGTCCCTCCCTTGCATCTCGGATAACACACCTGCCACGCCGGACCTATGAGAAGGCAACTTACTCAAGACTGCCCCTCGTGGGCCCGAGTAATCCGCCCGTGGGCGCCATGCTTTGAGTAAGCTGATCGACCTCGATGTCGGCGTATTGCTTGTTGGATGATAATTGTGCTCGACTCTCTGTTGTGCTTACCCATGTCATGCATTGCGCCGCTCACAACGAGGACTCATCCAACACCAATCATGCAGTACTATTAGTCTCTGCTCATTAGCGACGGCATCCAACTCTCGACCGGCCTCGAAAATTCTATCCTGGTCCACCCGTCCAGCATCCAACTCTGCAAAGCGACCATGAGCCACTTAGCCACAGATGCGCATACGCCACCCGAAAACTCCCTCATGCCGCGGACGCTAAATGTTCTGACGCACGCTTGTTCTTTTCTTGTCTAACCTCAAGTCCTGCACCTGTCCTCACGCCGTGACGCCCCAGGCCCCAGGTCACTAGTGGAGAAAAGAGGCCTTGGTACAGATAAACCTTCGCTGGCAGCCGTGTTCCAATCCGTCCAGTCAGCGGCCGTTCAAAGGCCGGTTGATAGAGAAGCGCATTTCGGCTCGTTGCTTTGAAGACCTGCCGCTGCAACATTTGCAACAAATATCCACCTCGAGGGAGTTGCAGGGATACTGAAACTCCACCCACCCAGCAACTACCCTTTTACGTCGCACTTTGGCGCTCTTCAAACAAACGGTCGACTGGGTCGTCGCTTAGCTGCCTTTCTTGTGGGCTTAGTCGCAACCGTGACACTGACCTCTGGCAACATGCTTGAGAGTCGAGACAAGATACGGCACGACGGTGCTCGACTCTATCGAAGGTGCGAGCGCCACATCACAAGCTTGGTTTGTTGCATTCGCAAAGATGACTTCTCGCTCATCACTAGCCTGGATCCTTCTGACACATTGAGCTTGAATGCTTCTCCCTGGGACAAGACAGAACTACCCAGAAGGTACTCTTCCTTGCTGGCATTAATGAGCCTCTTCTGGGTACTCGAGTCATCTACAGGAATGGTACACATGCGATGCTGACAGAAGTATGCCCTCTGGAAAAGCTTTTGCTGCGACACCGACTGTATCTCTGACACAAGATGAACGACAGCACTGCTAAATCGCAACCGAACCAAACAAGCACAGCCAAATGGAGATGATCGATCCGAGGAAAAGTTCGCCTCCACCCAGCCGAACCTGGATGCTTATCACAACGCTAGATCAATTACTCGCAGGCCTGATCTGAACAAGATAGCCACCCCATAAAACAGCGTGCAGTAGCCGACTCTGTTGTTATTCAACAGAAGCCATGCCATTCTTCCTTGCGCCCGATATGGGCTAGCCTTGATTTCGGCTCTGCAGATGCTACCAGCAATCCCCCTCTACAGTTACGGGGCGAGTTTGAAGGTCGGATGATGGACAGTAGCTGGACTGAAGACGAATCGCCGCATCAAGGAGTCCAGTGACGGCCTTGGAACGGTACATCAGAATGACACACGATTCTGCTGCAAACCAAGACTTGCCAGCTCCCGAAAAAGCTGATTACGAGCCTCTTCCACAGACCTTACCAGGAGTGCATTGAGGTACCACTCGATAGGGCGAGTCAGTGCTCATCAAAGTAGAACGTGCGAACCACCTACTTTCCCATAGCACCAGTTGCAACCGCGGAAAGGAGGAACGTGCGTATTGATGGTACCGTCCATCTTTGCTCCAACGTGAAACAGACACTCTGCGGTCTAGATTACGGGCTCCTCGCACCATGTTCTGCTATTCTCATTGACGCATGACAAGCCGCTTTATCGGACATCTTTGCAAGGCTGCTCACAACTCTCGCCTATGTTGCTGATGATGGCTGTGGCCAGCAATGGCGTCAGCAGCCACGGACCCAAGGATGGGTCTTGCATAACTATGAGGTAGGCAATGGTTCAAAAGAGGAGGAACAACTTTGACTGGGAGGCCGAATTTTTTGACATTGGAACGGACTTATCAAACTGGCGCTCGTCGACTTGCCCTGTCCCCTCGTCTCCTTGTGAAATCTTCAGTCTGTGAGCACCTGGACTCTTGACTTCTAGCTTCAGTGGTCGGTTGCTATGGGCATGAAGCAGTAGTCCTGGCAATTGCGTGCTTGTCCTTTGTTCTCACAACAGATCGGCCGCCGGGCGTCATCGTGGTGATGAGTCTCCGGTTGCGTGATGAGACCCCTTCTGCTCCGCCCACATTAGTGAGACGAACACACTCGATCTATCTACCGCTAGTTCGAGACGGCACTGTTCATCATTCACCGTGACGCATGGTGGTCCTCTCGTTGAAACCTCACAGGGACGACTGAGAGTTGTCGTTATCAAGTGGGCTGATTGACCCCGGCTTCCCCGCGTACGCTTCTCCGACGAAAGTGTCATACCTGTGAGTGAAGTTTGTCAAGAGTCGCTAGCGTGCGGCTGGCAAAGCGGAGGATTTCGCCAGCAGCCGCTCGAGGCAAAATGCCTCTTATCGTTAGGTTTCTCGATACGAGGCTGTAGCTTCGGGCCCAGAGAGGAGAATAGCTGACTTCTGCCGGGATAGCCTTGTATCACCAGCAGGGATCTGAGGCTACTTGGGACCTACCTAAAGTGGCATGTCCAGGTGAGTCTGGACGAGATAGAGAGCAGATAAAGCTGCGTAATCATGGGGCGTTGTGATAACAACTGGGCCTCCGGTGTCAACGCTCCGAATCACAAGGAGCAGTTGAGTCCCTGCAGTCTCCTCATTCTCATTCTGCGACATCTGCACCACCCTTGACAGTTCGCACGTGAAAGTCGCCAAAGGCATGTGAGTCAAGGTCAGCGAGGTTGGAAGAAGTTTGTGGCATGTGTTGCATGTGACGATGGAATCGACGTTGAGAGGGTGCTTGGATGTCTCGATGTGCACGGACACGATCCACCTCCCGCGCCATGCAATCGGTGATCCGATGATCTACCGGATACGATGTGGTAGTGGGTCGAATGCCGGGCCGTAGCAAGTGGCATATCGCTTGGCAACGATCCTTTCCACCTCTACTCCGCTAACGCACCCCCATGCTGCGAGTATGACTAGCAGTGGCATCTTATCAGTCGGATGAGTGGGCGAGACGTTGCGACAAGCCACATGCAACATCACTGTTTGCGGGATTTATCACCATCCACGGGAGTAGCTTGACGAGATATCGTTCGGGTATCAGCCTAATTGCCATGGCAGACGTTGCGACAGAGCAAGCAGTTACTGCCGGGCCTCCCGCTCGGCATGTCATCTATTGCGGAGGTGGGCAGTTCTCGCGCCCCGGAGACATTCTTGTGAAAGAATAGCGATGCTGACATTGGGACTCTAACAGTCTGCAGTCTTCCCCCCGAGTACTGCGAATTTGGTGGCACCACCAAGAAGTGTGAAGAATGGCTTCAGACGAACCACCCTGATATGCACAAGAAGCTGTACTCGGAAGAAGCATTAACTGCCAACCTTTCAGCACTCTCCGTCGATGCGCAGAAGCGAGCAGAAAAGGACGCTGCCAAAAAGACGGCCAAGGCCGCCGCCGCAGAGCAACGAGAGGCAGAGCGAAAAGCCGAGGCTATAGTCCTCATCAAGCGGGTGGAAAGAAACAAGCGGAAATACGTCACGGTCGTCTCCGGCCTGGAAGAGCATGGGCTGGAGTTGAAGAAGGTGGCCAAAGAGCTGGGCAAGAAGTTCGCAACCGGCAGCAGTGTCACCAAGACTGCGGCGGGTGGTGAAGAGATCACAGTGCAAGGCGATGTGAGTGATGATGTGTATGACTGGTTACAGGAGAAGTATCCTGAGGTTCCCGAAGATAACCTGGAGATGAAGGATGAGACAAAGAAGAAGGGCGGAAGTTAGCATGGACTAGAGGACATCGATTCGGTGCCAGGATGTGTTCATTTTCCCACGAAAAGCCGTTTGGAGAAAGTCTCTGAACAAGGAATGTGCTGCTTCGAGCGGAACGATATCCGGGAAGACCTTACCTTGAGGAAGTCGGCATTTCGAAGTGGCGCTTCCCATGATATTTTGATCGGAGGAAGACCATGAATTCCAAAACTCGGTCCGGCAGAATCTGCGGAACGCGGCACAAGGCTGAACTGAAACCCTTTGGAAAGTGTGGAAAGTGTCTAGCCAGAGAGCCGCAATACTCATTTTCATCTTTACCCGCGACGGTTGACTTGCTTTAGACATGAATTTCATTCTGTGCCTCTTCATTTTGTCCTTGGCCATGTTTCACCACTCTCTATCGCGACTCCGCAGATTTGAAATATGGCCTACCACATCCAAACATCCTCCGACTCTCCTTCTGACTCTGACTGCAATACCGACACCCAGTCTGGATCCGACTGGGTTTCGTGCGGCAGTAGCTCGACAGACGAAGACAGCCTCAAACCCAAGTCCAGCACTGCATTGTGGTCGACGCCCACAAAGAACTCGCGGCTGACGTCATCCGCGATCCTCTCCCTGCGGCGTTTCAAACCCAAGAAGACCAAGGACCTCGAATCTAGGCCTATTTGCGCGCCTGCGGCACCTGAAACGGCGCCTAACGGTCTGGCCTTTAGCGGCCGCAGGCCCTTGCCGGTGCCAGAGCCGCCAAACACTTTGGGCCGGGCCAGCCAATTGAGCATCAGGTCTGGAACTCACGCTTCCACTTCCCATTTTCGCGGCCATTCCCAGCGACGCGAATCCTCATCGCCATGGACACCGATCACAGCACGCGACGCTCACCATGGCGATGACCAACAGATCTCCACGGCCTTCCTCCTGCCGCCTCTCCCACTGCTAACGTCATCGCCCTGCCCTCACTCGCCCGCACATGTCTCGTCCGACCTCACCACGATGGACCCCAACAACCCTGCTCAGAGTCCCAACTTGGCCGACTTGCTCAGCAGCTTGTCAAGCCCTGAAGATGCCAGTCGCAAGATGGCAGCTTTCAAGCTGCAGTCGCTGATCAATGATCCTTCCTTCGCGGAACATTTCGTGCTTGCGGGTGGATTGCCGCGACTGCGCACCCTTGTCCTCGAAAGCAGCGGAAACACGTTAGCCTACAGTCTCGCAAGCTTTGCGAGGCTATTGGAGGTCGACCAAGGATGGGAAGCTGTCAACAACAAAGTCGTCGAGAAGGTGAGCTGGTTCTCTGTCATACATCCTCGGTTCAGGAGCAACACTGATATGTGCATGATACGCTAGGTCGTGGAACTGGTAGTCTGTCAACCTCTGGTCAACATCCTCCGAGGCGCAATGGCTATTCTCGTGTCCATCGTCTCTCGACCCTACTACGCCGACAGATCCTCACAAATCGGTTCCAACCACAATGCCGGAGGTTTTCAAGCGCTCAAACCTGCCATCGCACTCTATCCTCAATTCCTAGAAATGTTGGTGACGAGGCTGTCCTCTGCGGATCACGCTCTATGCGCCAATGCACTCCAGCTGATCAATTCACTCATGCGTGACGCCATCACCAACGACAACGAGACCGAGTGGCCCAAGTTCATCAAACGAATCCAAGATCTGGGAGTCATCAAGGCAGTTTATGTGCTGATGCAGAGCTCGGCCCTACAAGATCTGGCGCATCCGCTACTAGAGTTTCAGGCGCTGACAAAGATATTACTGAGACGATGGAGAGACGTACCCGTTGATTTGGTGAAGCCGGAACACCGACGGACGATCAAGGCCGTCCATCTCTCCAGCAACCCAGAGAAGCCTGTGGAATTCGAGGTCCGGAACGGAGAGTCCAAACCGAAGCACAATCCTTATAAATGGAGGCGTCTTGGTTTCACTTCCGAAACCCCTGAACCAGACTTTGCGGAGATGGGGTTCCTGGGTATGATGGACCTCTCCGATTATGTCCGTAAGCATCAAGACGAGTTTCAGAATATCTTGCTTGAGCAGTCAGTAACACCCGAGCAAAACCGCTGTCCGCTGGCTCGCGCGAGTCTGACCTTGACGGCCATTCTATTCGAGCATTTCGAGGTGGACAAAATGGATCTTGAGGATTCCAAAAGCTACCTCGCTTTGGAGAGTCGGACAAATTTCGACAAGGTCTTCAAGCCACTCTTGTTACACTGGAGTCGACTGCACGTTGCCGGCTTGCATGCTTTCTTCCGGATCTGGAAGGCGACAGGGGCCGAAACCGCCGATTTTTCTAAAATCGTGGAGCTGGTGAGGATATTGGTGGAGAGTGTCGTCGGTGGCGCTGATCGCGTCAAGGGTATCGAAGAGATCGAGAAAGAAATGGCGGCTTTCGAATACCATAAGCTTCGGGAGCTCCAGATGGAATTGCTGGAGCTGACTTATGAGGACGTCTGGGGTCAGCATCTGCGCGGGGTGAAAGAAGAGCTGCATACCGAAGCCTTGCAGTTTGTCAAGGAGCAAAGAATCCGATGTCTGCTTGCCGGGTCGTGGTTCCCCAACGGCACGTACACGGACCAAGAAGGCGGGGGTCCCGTCACAGAGGACAGCCTGGTTCAGAATTCTGCCCACGGCTATCGCTTCATCCGCCTTTCAGAAACCCGCAAATATCTGCATTGGGGAGACTTTGATGAGAAGGAGGAGCCGGCCCCGCCTACCTCGAGCCTCCGTGACAAGATCGATCTGTCGATCGTGTCGTCCGTGGTATCAAACGTGACAGCAACCGATCGATCCTCGTTCGGCTCGGACTCGACGCTGAAAGAGCTGGCACACGATCGATTTACCACAAATAAGATCACGATACATGGCCATTTGCCCAAATCGCGTGGTGGACGAAGTGAGCATTCGAGGACTTCCTCCAAGACTTCTTCTGCCCGCAGTGCGCCCAAGGAAACAGTCCTGCTGACGTTCCATCCAAATAGCCACAGCATCGCCTCGGAATGGCTTGATGGGCTCCTGATGCTCCTGGAGCAGCAACCGATCACTGCGGAGACGAACCGACTAATACACATGATTAGCGACTATGGGCTGAAAGTCCGTTTGCTGAATGTAAGGTTCAATGACGAGGAAGGCATCGTGGAGGGCATGGATGGATTGGATGGCCCTGAGATTCCAAGCCGAGAAGGGTTGGACGATGACTATTACTATGAAATATGACGAGCTGAAGGCCGAGCGCCCGGACGATGAGCCGAGGCGGAATATATTGTTGACACTTGGCCGTTGGATATGAGGAGAAACGGAGCTCCAGCAAGGCAAGGCGGCGAGGCTTCAGATACGAACTCTGGGGGGTGGAGCGATGACTACCCAAACGAACAGGAGATTGTTAGGAGTTCCGATATGCATTGTGTCTTTGAGATACCCAAGATTCGGATACGGACACTTGGGCTTTGCCAACCAATGCAGAGCAGTGGAAGTATCAGAAGGTTGTATACTGCGTGGCGACCTTGACGGCGGCATATCAGCTGCAGTTATTCCCGAGGCTCGTCCAGGTATGCCAGGCGCAGAGAATACAACCTCCCACAGTGGCACCGACAACTTTCGAATGGCGAGGAAACCTGCATGGCTATCTCAAAGTCATGCGACCATTTCCCTACCCCAGTACACCAGCCACTGCGGAAATTTTCTCGAAAGATTACCGACTCCATGGTTGGTGGAAGGGATCCCTCCGAGGACACGTGCGCCGGTTGAAGCCACGATTGGAGACCTTTCCCGTGGGTAACGGAAAGGGCAAGACAGCGGAGAGGAACTCTCTCTGGATTTGCCCTTCCGATCCGGCCTGGGCACTCGCCTCAGCGAGCCAGCTAGTTCCCTTACGGGGGGTTCGTTGCGGGCGGCGGCCTGTCAGGAGGATGCTGGAGGGCTCACTGCAGTGCCCCTAAGCCGCACCAGGCTTAAGCCCTACAGCATTTGGGCCACCCCGCCCTCGCCCGCCCTGGACCCCCGCTTGCGAACACCGAATCATCTGTGCCTCGGTCGCCATCCAGGCACCTCTCCGAGCAGATCTTCCTACAAGCCGGCTCGACCTTCGTCATCGGGACCGTCCAAAGCACCAACAGCACCAACGGGCCAGCCCTAAGTGCAGCCTTAGATATGCGGATTGGCTACGAGAAATCACGTCAGTGGCAGCGTTACAGTGGAACACGCCCATCGTGTGCTTGTCGCGTGCAAACAAGAATCTGGGCAACTACTCGTACTCATGTCCAGCCGATAAGGTAGGATGATCATTTCTCTGCCTTACTCTCCGGAGTCCACACAGCGCCCCGTAGCCCAGGCTAGCGAGCCACCTTCACGTCACTAACAAGCTGCACGTACGACCCTCCCCAGGGAAGAAATGATCTTTCCAATCGAGTTTCCGAGATATGGAGCAGGGGGCCCACGCTCCCTTCTGGCTATTGGGTTCTTCGTGCGATTGATAAAGCCCCCATTGTCCCTGCGTGCTTGAATTGAGTTTTCCGCTCACCACTCCTGCGGGCTATTCGGGAGCAAGTGCAGGACAAGAGGGAACGCAGTCTGTCACAAGGCAAGAGACGACAGCGACCGTCTTCCTTTCCCCATTGGCCTTGCGATAGATACCCCATCTGGCCGGAAACCCCGTGCAGACCTCAGCCATGTCTGCAGAATACCCTACGAAAGAGGTGAACGAGGCTCATGGCGACGCGAAAACTCATGTGGACGAGAAAGATGCGTACCACAATCGTCACAGCTTCGGCGAGCGCGTGCGGAACAGCATTTCGGTCCAGTCACTCGACGAGAACACAGTGGAAGGCCAGATCTTTTCCATGAACGATGTTGATCCGGCTCTGGACAAGAAAATGCGCCTCGTCAACAATGTTGGTCCCTCCGTGCACAAGCCAGATCTTGGTTATATTGGCACGGACTGAAGAAATGCTAATATCCGTGATTGGCAGGCTATCGACGAGATTGGATGGACCGGCATGCACTTGAAGCTCTTCTTCCTCAATGGCTTCGGCTACGCAGCCGATTCCTTGATTCTATTGTTGCAGTCGGTGACGGCCGGCCAAGCTGCACTCGAGTTTAACCCGTCTCTTCAAAATGGTATGACCGTGGCCGCCTATTGTGGGATGTTGCTCGGGGCTTTGTTTTGGGGACTGAGTGAGCGATCTCCCCACGGTGAAAGTCGAGACAGTGATTGACGCATTTCGACAGGTGCCGATGTGATCGGTCGTCGCTTTGCATTTAACGTCTCCCTGTTCAGCTGCTCCATCTTCGCCATCTGCGCTGGTGCCTCGCCCAATTGGTATGCCTTGGGTGCATTCACGGCTCTGGCGGCATTTGGCTCTGGTGGAAACTTGATCTTGGACACAACTGTTTTCCTGGAGTACCTGCCCGGAAACAAGCAATGGCTCCTGACGCTGATGGCGTGCTGGTGGGGTCTGGCGCCGGTCGTGGCAGCTGCTTTTGCCTGGCCATTCCTCTCCATTAGCAAGTATAATTGTACCTCTCACGATACTTGTACCTACGACAACAACATGGTCAGTTTCCAGATTTCACCAAAAGCAGCTGAAAGACTAACAATCGAAGGGATGGCGTTACGTCTGGTATTCGAACGGAACCCTGGTTTTCGTTCTTAGCATTCTGCGTGTGACGGTCATCAGGCTCAAAGAGACCCCAAAGTACTTACTCGCGAAAGGACAAGACCAGGAAGTGGTCAACACTTTCCACGAAATTGCTGCCAAGTACAACAGGCCATGCTCACTGACTTTCGAGCAACTCGACGAATGTGGTCCGATCAAGTCGACCTATGGCAAGTCGCGGTACGGGTTTTCCGAATTGGTTGCACACCTGCGAGGCCTTTTCCAGACGAAAAAGCTAGGGGTTTCTACGAGCCTAATCTGGCTGTCCTGGACACTGATCGGTATGCAGAATGTATAAAGTGGAGGATACCTGACACAAGGCTGACTATGCTGCAGGTTTGGCGTACCCTCTGTTCTACGTCTTCTTGCCCCAGTTTCTCGAAAGCCGTGGTGCGCAGACCGGGCAAGGCGGCGCGTATTACACCTGGCGAAATTATATGATCACCAACACTGTCGGCATCTTCGGACCGGTACTTGCAGGCTTCATGTGCAACTGGAGACTCCTGGGACGGAGATACACCATGGTGATCGGAGCACTGGTCTCCATGGCCTTCTTCTTCGCCTACACCGCAGTCCGCACGCCTGCTCAGAACATTGCGTTCACCTGCATGATATACTTCTGGGTCAATGTTTACTACGGGACGCTGTGTAAGAACTTCCTAGACGTTTCGCTTCTCTGTTCGTTTGCCAGGATCCATGCTGACAGACCCTTAAAACGACTACAGATGCCTACACACCTGAGGTAAGTTCCAATATGTCTCTGCGAGCGGTGCGGGTCCGGTCAACTAACAGGTGTTTAGAGCTTACCATCCGCTCACAGAGCTACCGGAAACGGCATTGCTGTCGGTTGCAACCGTGTCATGGGGCTGGTGAGTGCCTTCGTGGCCGAGTACTCCGACACAGCGACCAGTGCCCCCATCTATATCTGCGCATCACTCTATATCGCCATGGTAAGGATGCTCCCTATTTCCAAAAGGTTGAGAAGCAGCCCGAATCTGACATGCGTTGCAGGCCATCGTCGCAGTCATCATGCCTTTCGAGCCGTACGGAAAGAGGTCCATGTAGAGAGCACGTTGCGTGATGCCGAACCAGCTCTTGTCGTTCATGCTGATATGATACCCTCGCTTATAAGGCGATCCAAAATTATCATCACTAGGGAGTACTCAGGAGTCGTCCCTGTGAGACCTACTGAGTACTCGTATAATCCGCCTGCAGGGCTCCTCTCAACCGGCCCTGTCGGCCGCTGCCGATCGGGGATCCTCGGAGCTACTTTGCTGGCTCCGACCTTCCTCAAGCGGTTTAAGAACTCATGCCGATCCCACTTGGGGGCTGCGGCGCCATTGACCTTGTCTGGAGCTATCATCATCATGTTGTCTTGGTGATTGACCGTCCTCCTGCCTATTCTCTCGACACCACGCACAAGTCCTTCGTTTCGCCAGCAGATATCCCGATTTGATTTCCGCCCTCGATCCTGTCTGGCCTGATGGATGCAAGCCATTGCCGAACCCAAGCAATGGCAAATAGCTTGCGGGGATGCTTATCCAGCCCACAGCAACGTGCGTCGCTTGTGATGCAACATTCACTTTATCTATCATGATATCGCCTTCCACCCTCCGGCGGAGTCGGTGGGATTGCCGCCCAATAATTTACATATGATCTTCATTTGGAGCTTGATGCCCAAGTCTCGTTGTCGAGACTTCAGCACGTCTTTTCTAGACATTGTCCCATGAGTCCAGCGGTAGGCAACTTGACCGTACGAGGCGTCGTGTAACAGATTGCTGTTGTCAACGTTGCTTTTGTCCTTTCCTTCTCCTTGATCGACTGAAACCGCTGAAACCGCTGAAACCGTCTGGGCATCCCCAATACTGGGCCACGCGACGAGCACCTACCACCAGCCATGGCCGACATCGAACGCAACGAAAAGTCAATCGACACCCACAACCTCCCTGGCAAGCGCTCTGTGTCCCCGGTAGACATATCGGAGAAGCGTGCCTCAGCCTCTACCACACGGGCTGCCCAAAAGATCCTCGAGCACAGCAGCGATGCCGACGAGGCGATGAAGGCCTTCGCCAACGGCGAGGTCGTGGAGATCGACGAGGCGACCAACAAACGCCTCCTGCGCATCATTGACTGGCATCTCATGCCCCTGCTCTGCGTCATCTACGGGTTGAACTTCCTCGACAAGACCACGCTCTCGTATGCGAGCATCATGGGCATCAAGACGGATATCAACCTGGTGGGCGACGACTACCAGTGGCTGTCGAGCATGTTCTACTTTGGCTATCTCGCCTGGGAATACCCTACGAACCGACTGCTGCAGCGACTGCCGCTGGCCAAGTATTCGGCCTTTTGCGTCATCGCATGGGGTACCGTGCTGGCATTGTTTGCGACCGTGTCCAACTTTAGTGGCGCCGTGGCTGTCCGATGTACGTTGGATGATTATGCATTTCCTCCTTCGTCCCCCTTCAGACCCATGATACCACCCCCTCCACTCTTATCTGTGCGTACTTGTGATCTGACGTTCGAGACCAGTCTTCCTGGGAGTCATGGAGAGTGCCGTGACGCCGGGCTTCGCCCTCTTCACGTCGCAGTGGTACACCAAGCGCGAGCAAGGCACGCGCACGGGCATCTGGTTCTCGTTCAACGGCTTCGGGCAGATCTTTGGTGGTCTCGTCGCGTACGGCATTGCGGTCGGCGCGCGCAAGCACGGCGCCGCCATCGCGCCGTGGAAGATTGTCTTCCTCGTCAACGGACTGCTGACGGCCGCGCTGGGCGTCGTGTTCCTCTTCGTCATCCCGGACAACCAGCTCAACGCACGGTGGCTGAAGCCGCGGGATCGCATCCTGGCCGTCGAAAGGGTGCGGGTCAACCAACAGGGCATCGGCAACAAGCACTTCAAGTTCTATCAACTCAAGGAAGCCTTGTTGGATCCCTTGACTTGGGCGTTTGTCTTTTACGCTCTCGTCGCGGATATCCCCAACGGAGGCATTACCAATTTCTTCTCGCAGCTGGTGAGTGTGTCCTCGTATTGTTCGAGGCTGCCTTCGCGCAGTCACACGAACCACTGTCCAAGAATACTTCATTCTAATCTGTTTTCAGATCGTCTCGTTCGGCTACACGCCCGAAGAATCGCTCCTGTACGGCACCCCCGGCGGGGCCGTCGAGGTCGTGGCCCTGATCTTCTGCGGCTGGCTCGGCGACCGGCTCGGCCAACGCATCCTCGTCTCGATGGGCGGCCTGTGCGTCGCGCTGCTCGGCATGATCCTCATCGTCGCCCTGCCCTTGTCCAACAACTCGGGCCGTCTGGCAGGGTATTACCTGACCCAGGCCTCGCCAACGCCCTTTGTGGCCCTGTTGTCCCTGATCGCGACCAACGTCGCGGGATACACCAAGAAGACCACCGTCGCGGCGTGTTACCTCATCGGCTACTGCGTCGGCAACATCATCGGCCCGCAGACCTTCCGGCCGAGCGACGCCCCGGAGTACCGACCCGCCGAGATCACCATCATCGTCTGCTGGGGTGCGTGTCTGGTCGATTTGGCCTTTATCTGGTGGTATTGTCGGCGGCAGAACAAGAACAAGGAAGCCCAGCGCGCGGAGCCGGGGTACGTCAAGTTGGAGAATCAAGAGTAAGTCTGATGAGAGATTGTCTTCCTTCTTGTTTGGTTTGGTTGTGAGACCCCCGGCGCCCGTCGCCCAGCTAACGTTGAGATTCCGCAGGTGGCTCGACTTGACGGATAAAGAGAATCCCGAGTTCGTGTACAGTCTGTAAAGCGGTGGTCTTCTGGGGTCTTAAGCAACATGCTCCCACGACTCGCGGCGCAGAGACGCAGAGACCCAATACGTATCACCGTACGGAGTACTGTAGCTGGCTGTCGGCCCGGCTCCTCGGAGGACATCGCCGATCCGAGATACATACTCGACGAGTGCGGCGACGTTCTTCGAATGTGAGAGAGAGAGAGAGAGAGAGAGAGACAGAAGCTTCCTTTCGCGACTACGAGTACGAGCCGTAGATAATGTGAGCGAGAGCCTGTGTGCGCGTGAATGTGATAGGGGTCTACCGTCTCTGTAGTGTGTCTCGTGCTCTGTGCTCTGTCCATATGCTGCGTTTGTCCCTCCCTTGCTGCGAGTGCGAGATATTCGCTCCTCATTGTTTGGCATTTGGCATTGGCATTGGCATTTGTCTCGTACATGTATATACGTACATGTACATGTATATGTATATATATACGAACAGGCATATGTACATGTACATGTATACGAACAGGCATATGTATGTATAGACAGTCTATACATAATTATACCCAGGTAGGTAGGTAGGTATCCGTGTACGTATGTACATAAGGTACCTACCTAAGTACTTGGTATACCGAACATGTAGCTGGCTTGTGTCTGTCTATCCCGACTCGACCGGGATTTTCCAGTTACTGTACGGAGTTCTGTAAGCCGGGGCCGACCGCCCTAACCACCAACCACCACTAATTACATACCACAAGTACTTTGTTTCCATTTCCATCTCCATCCCTATCCTCAACTTCTTTCTTCTCTCTTCACTTCCATTATCTCCCAAGATTCGTTCTTCCGAGCAATCCGACTCGGCCAGACCGGCAGTTTTGATGCCTTAAAATCAGAAACACTGGGAGCGGATGGGAGTCGCGAAATGTCGATTTCCCCCCGTGCAAGTGCAAGGAGGTGAACCGTGCACTCGCCAAGTCTGACGAGGGAGGTCAAGAGCCAGAGAGGTGCAGAGTCCAGGGGAAGGCATATTTACTTGGACCTGTGGATGGCATCGAGAGACAAGAGACAAGAGACAAGAGGAAGAGACGAGCTACACCGAACTGTCGTCCAGTCCGATCGACAGACGAAGGCGAGTACAGCGACGCCCCACCAGAGCGAGAATATAGAAAGGTAGGTGTGTCTATATCGGAGTCAGATATAGGCTGGTAGAGGTCCAGTCCGACTGTCTCTTTGGGGACTGAATGTCAGCCGGGTTGTTGGTGTGGTTCGGACGGCATGACGGACACGGGCACATTCAGTGGATACACAGGTATCGAGCGTGCGATATGATCCTTGCCGGACCGTCCATTGCAATGTTTTGTTCTCTTGCTATTGCTGGAGGTACGGCAAGGTTAGGCTGAATTGAAAAGGGGCAGCGGCAGGCCTTAGCATGGTGGTGCCCACCGTGGAATGCGAAATGGAATACAGAGCACCGTAGAAAGAAGGCGGGAGAACAGACAAGAAGGAGCCGACGACGATGGAAAGGTGGTTGAGAGCAACAAGAAGTGCTGTGGCCCGCCCTTCTACATTTGTATGCATTTCCCTTTTTTATCAATTCATTGATTGGTGTCAAGGTATGAATCGCAGCTTTTGTGACTCCTCCGCTATGACCAGTCCTTGAAGGTGAGGTTCTGTAACAGGAACACAAATGTTGACCATCCCCCAATGGTCCACCCGTCTGCTGTCCGATTGTTTTGCAGTCGTCATATGTCTTGGTCCAAGGTACTCTCTGGGACAACGTGGGATCGGGTGCTGGTCGGGGAGAGGCGCATTTGAGGCATGGTCGACACAGCGGTGCAAGTTTGGTCGTTTAAGCGAAAGCCTCGTCGACCTTCGTCTTGGCCTCGGCCTCGGAGATGCCGTAGACCTCAGCAACCTTCTTGATGAGGGCTTCTCGGTTGCCAGCAACGGCAGCGAAGTCTTGAGGGGTGAGCTTGTCAAAAGTGGCGCGGAGCTTTGCCTTGGTAGCGTCGTCGGCCATGGTGACTGGTTCTGTTGTTGAAGAAGATGTGAAACCTTGAAGAGACGGTGTGGAGAGAGAGAGAGACTTGAAGGTAGCTGTGAGGGTTGGGAAGGAAAGGAAAGACAGGCGTAATTGTTTGAAGCATCTTGTTTATATACCCAGGATTGCCCGATGACACCGTCCTTGCCCCTCCACCCCTCATTTGTTTCAATCACGCTGCGCTCGACTCTTGACACCTCAATCGGGCGCTTGGTGGATTGCACAATCGGGCTCCAAGCCCCACGCTTCTGTGGCCGGAAGGACGAAGAACCAAAAAGCTCAGTTGTTACGTCTGGAGTATCCAATCAAGGCAGGGTCGTTCTCACCGATTGATTGTGATGCTCGAATGAGGACGCGTGGCCGTGTGGTAGAGGGTAACGGCCCGCTGGATCGAGCAAGGTGCCGCCGCCGGTGGGTTTAGCTCTGAGCATGGAGGATTGAGAGGGGGCAAGTTCGCGTACGCGTGAACTCGACCCACGGAGGGAGTTCTGGCGGTGAAGAGTTACTGACTGTCTGAGGCTGTCGGCGCGGCGTGGCGACGCATGGCATGTGCAGTCACTGCAGGAGCCTACCCAGTACTCGTACCGATCAGACCGTCCGCGGCAGTTTCAGAGTGGTTTCAATTCGTAAACAATGTAAAATCACCTGCTTGTTTTCCACCTTGTTTATTTTTGTTGCTGCCCCTCCCTTGGTCCCTGTATATGTCCGGCTTACCCCTCGATGCCTGGACGCGGGGCCTAAGTTTAACGTTCGCATCTCCCTCTGGCCCGCCAGGGGAAATCGGAGATCACCCTCCTCCGACGTCCTGCGCCTAAGCGCCACCATCACGACAGTATTCGTATTGAACCCTGAAAACTCTGGGCGAGAAGCCAACGCATGTCTGTGGGTCTTTTCTTCTCGATATGGGTCGTCTTTTCTGGCGAAGGAGCCGTTGGGCGTTGCCGGCCACCGGGAAGAGTCGAGTCAGGGAAAGCCGTTTCAGACTCGACTTCTGCAAGACAATCAGCAAGGTGAGCAATTGGGTGATGAGTACGAGGGGGCCAGACCGCTTATCAGTCTGTCGATACGGCTGATGGCTCGATTGACCGGTCTTGCTCGTTTCGGGTGCTGGTCAGGCACGCGGGACAGTAACGTCCCTTTGAAGATTAGTGACGGTCTGACCGAGCCGTTCGTTCGTGAGAACGCCTGCTGGACGCTGCTAGCCTGGTGGACATTGGTGTCCGTTACGACCGCCAAGGCGTTGAACAGCTGGCAGATAACGAGTACCTGTGGGGAAGAGCGAAGAGCAGATAACACAAGTTCATGACAAACAACCGTGTCGGGCTAGGAAACAGAGTGGGCAGGACTGAACCGATGGAAGCTCATTGCGGCACCGTGGAAATGGAAGGCACCATTGTGGCAAGTGTTCTATTGCATCCCCTCTTAGGTGCGCCTGATGTCCAAGCAACAAGCAATGATCAATGCCAGTATCTTGTCTCTCTCGACAACGATGAAACCAGTGGTGACGACATCCTCAGTGTGGCTGCCATGTCTCCCAGGAGCTGTTGTCCGTCTTCACTGGCACCAATGTCCAGGTCTTCTTCCGCCAAATGAAGCATCGATCACACTCTTTCCCCAGTGTATGCCCGCCTCTTCAATGCTGCTTGCCCTTCTGCTCACTAGCCAAGACGAAGTTAATCTTGTAGAAGACGTGACAGTGGCGAAGTATAGCCCGAGCACGCATAACCCATGGTTGTACCTGTCCGAACGCGTCCATTAGCTCTTCCTTGACCTCCGCTTTGTAGTCTTGAATCTCCTCAACATCCTTCTCAAGCTTCTTCAAATGCGCGGCAATCTGCTCTAGCTGGTGCACTGTGATGACAGAGGCGGTATTTTGATCGATGAGAAACTCGGTCCTGAAGGTGTGGTATTTGCCAGAATTGATGGCGGCCTGGTAGGATTTCAAGCCTCTCTGGATCCCTCCAATGACTTCAATCTCGTCTCTGAGCGCAGCGGTGAAAGCCTCCTTGGTCTTAGGGATGTCCGCTGGCTTGTCAATGGCACCAGAGAATCCGAAAGCGCACTCAAATCTGGGCAAGTCTTGTTTGCGCAGCAGCGATCCGGCACGAGGATCGACGGGCGGCTGGATTCGAGGTGGTGTAGTTTCTTCCGCAAAGACCAAAGTTTCCAGCTTGCAGCCGAGCTCTTCAAGTATTTCTACAGTCGACTGGCAGGTGGACTCGAGGGAGCTGCTTTCGCCCGCAGTGCCTGGAGACAGATCAGGTGATGTAGATGGGGTGATGGTGTCGACCGAGGTCTCACTTCTGCCGGCAGAGGAAGGCGTCCTCGGGTTGACGATGGAGGATGGTACTTCGTCGGTAACTGGTACCTTCAAACTGGACACGTTGCTGACGTCGGGCATTGTCGTTGGAGAAGAGAGTGCAAATGTGGTTGAGAGGTGTCGTGACGCGAAAGGCGTCGTAAAGCTCAGGTGTAGGCAGATAATGAAGCCTCCACTGGCATCAGCAAGAAGGGAAGGGGCACAGAAAGCTCCGGAAGAATACAAAACAGATTCTTCTCTAGTTGAGCTAGACAACAAGGCAGGTCAGGCAGTACTTGTGCAGAACAAGAAACGTCAACATTCGACGTCCTTTGGTGACTTGGCCTCATACAGACAGATACATGTTATGTTCTTTCAGGATACATTCCCCGTAGAACATCGCACAACGGAACTGAAGTTTCACTCACGCTTTCACCAACATTGTTCATTAGCTTGCTCTCAACGTCGACAATTGCGACTCACGGAGCTAGATACGACGCCATCTTTGAGACAAGGGACATTTCGTCTTCACATCATAGACCACCCTTCATAATGTTAATAGGTTTGGGTGTGGTGATTACAGCTGGAGGTTTGTACAAAGTCACGGACAGAGAATGAGAGGGAGAGGTGAGAGCTCTCAGAGTCAAAAGAGTCACAGAGTCACAGAGTCACAGAGTCACGAGTCTACGAGATGCTCGGCCGAAGTCATACCGAAGTTCCAACTACGCACTACGTCAACATAGAGCAGTTTGCAGTTTAGCGGCATCTCAAAATGTCCGCGACCTAACTCATCTTTCACTCACGGGGTAGTGAAGAAGGTCGTTGTCGAGGACTATGTGCAAGCTATGAGAGCTTCTCGTTGTGGCATATCTCTTTTGACATCTAGCTCCTTGACATGATGATAAGGTGGAGGAGAAGAACAATGGTTGTGCACTGAGTCCGCGGTTTGCCTTTGCTTTCTTGATCATGTGGTAGACACGAGCAAACTCCTCAGGTATTCTATTGATGATGGCCACCCTATTCAGGCAGCTTGTTTTCTGGGGTCTGAGATCTGTAATGGAAGGGAGGCGCCTAGCGATTTTGGTATGGCTGGCGAATGTCGTCTCGGTTGCCCGTCCTCTGTCACCAACCTGAATCATATTGTTAGTCAATCGCACTATGTTTGCATGTTCTTGTTGCTCTCATATCTTCCTCTACATGATCGCCATCTTCAGTTATTTTGGATATTGAGCACCCTGGGTCCAAGCTAAGAGGGTGGTTGCCGGCGCATTCATCACCATAAAGTCAGTGCTACAAAATGTCTGAGGAGAGGCGACCTCCGATGCCCTCGATCGCACCTTCAATGTCTGGCAGCGTCCCAACAATCACCTTGCGCAGAGTAGGCGATGCTCAACCGCACGCGAGAATGACCGATTTCTGGAGGTTTTATAGAGGGGAAACAGATACCATCACTCTCACGAACGTCGAGGTGGTCGAGCGCAGTCAATCCCATGAGCGAGGCAGTACGGGCCTGAATCCCAGCGCAAAGACAAACAGCAGCACACGTACACCGGAGACAGAGGCCGTCGTACGACAAGCGAACCGTGACAACACGTCCGACTCAAACACTCCTCGCGTCCCACCGCCAAACATCTTACCACGCACCGCCCAGCCTTCCCTGGCGCGTTCCCACGATCTAAGAGCACCGGCAGTCTGGGACACGCAGCCGCGTGCTTTCCCTGGCGGATACGGCACCCCGAGACCACCGTTAGTTTCCACAGGACGACCGCGCCCACCACACATCGCTGCTCGCGTTTCCGTCATCATCTGCCGAGCCTGTCTTGATCCAGCGGAGGGTCTGATACTCCTGGACTGTGGCCATGTTTTCTGTCGGCCGTGCCTGAACCAGCTTGTCCGTATATGCACTGCCAATAGAATGTCGTGGCCCCCAAGATGCTGCAGTGGTCAGCTAGGACTGGATATCGACGCGATCCGAAACCACCTCGATGAGGAGGTTATTGCACGCTATGACACTGTGCGGACTGAGTACTCGGATCCCAAACCGATCTACTGCTCGAACCAGGTCTGCAGTCGCCATATCCCACCAGACACAGCTCCAAACACGGGACAATTCGTCTTCTGCGGCGACTGTAAGACCGAAACATGTGGCACATGCAAACAAGGGCGTGGTAAACATTGTGGTGCTGCTGGAACCATTTGCCCTTCCCTGGAGCAATTGCTCGGCGAGGAAAACCACAGCCTTGTCCAAACCCGGCGCTGGAAGCAATGTCCTGGCTGCCAAAATGTAGTCGAGAGAAGTGAAGGCTGCAACGAGATATTCTGCCAGTGCGGTGTCAGTTTCTGCTATCGTTGTGGTGTCAGGAAAGATCGTACACAGGCTCGCGTTTCTCATTGTGACTGTCCCCTCCTCGACTCTGCAGCAACCAACATCCGACCTGGTTTGCCGTTGCGCCGAGATGGGCGATATGGAATCATGCATCTCATGGCTACACACAATGAGGCAGCAATCACAGCACTCATGGAGGAAGCTGCATCCATCATTCCGCCCACTGGCAGAACTCACAACTTTGGTTCAAACATCCTTACAAGCACAAATGATCCTCCCACAGATTACCGCGGATCAAATTCGACAGCACCCCAAGTATGCCCCCAGAGCACGTCCTCGTCAAGGCTAGATCCCACAGCACGATCCTGGCAACCAAGCACGTCATCGCTCATTGGTCACGGAAGCTTTGTTGCGGGTGAGACGAGACCATTTCCCCTTCGCCTCGGGCACCTAGAGGACGCACGGAACAGAACATTGACTGCACTCAGAGGTATGTTGGGAGGAGGCCTGTGAACGGGCAGTGATATACTCCTGACGCAGGCAGAATCGCTTCGACCTTCTGGGCAAGACGATGGCACAGGAAGCAGGCGCTCAAACTTAGCTCCGGCAGGTCTGTTGGTTGGCATGGAGGCTTCTTTGGATGACCTCTCCACTGGAGGTGAGGAGGAGCCCGGTCGTTGATGAAGGACTTGGCTACGAGGGACATGGGATTTCGGGGAAATGTAAACCGACGAGGGGGCGGGGAGAGAGATTGTTTCAGGGGAAGTGACCCTCACATCGCGCATAAGATGCCCACGTGGTTGCACTAGAGAGACATTCCAGGCCGGCACAGCAACTTTCATCACCAAGTTCTGGCTTCATAGCAGATGAAGTCGCCGATAATTTCAGCGTACTGCTAACAGGGCAGCTCTTTTCCGAATCGGATTGAAGCGGCTTCTACCGCCAGAGGTCCACTCGTACCAGCTACCATACAAGATTAACCCATGTACCTTTTCCTGTGAAGCCCAGAACAGGTTCCATGGTGTGTCGGGTCGGCTGTACTCGCCTTTTGTTGCTACATATTGAGGCTTAGACGGGCTCTAGCTCAGGCCGACTAGCCCCCTGGAACCCTTGGCTAGAGGCCCAGATCGCCCGATCCGGGGCAGATCTCACGCCAAATCTCGCCTGAGCCGGCGATCGATTCAAGCCTGCCCAGCTGGGCTCAGATTCCCATACATTCCCGATGACGTTGACGAGAGACGGGTTTCTTTCTCGGCTCGACTCGACTCCCAAGGTCCTGTATCCTGATTGAGAATGTAGAGCTCATCATTAATGTCCTTCGAGCACTTGGGTAGGTTGTACTTGTATCTTGAGGTTTGCGCCTTGCGGTTTGCGCCTTGCGGTTTGAGCTTTCTGTGCATATCTTTTTTGCTCTTGTCTCTGTATAATACATAATCACTGGTTTTTTTTTTACAATTTGGCCCTCGGTTCAAAGAGAGCCATCTCCAGGTACATAGTACTGTACCAGTCATGGCGAACTCACAGGAGACGCCTATCCAGAAAGAAAAGCACAGTCCGCACAGTCCCCCGATCTCTGCCTCGACAGGGCTCACGGCCCAAACGCAGACCCAGCATCCTCAAGTCAAATCCGCCGCTCCCAACCCGACGCCCGGCACCACGACCACCACGGCGGGCTTGACTCCGCAGTCCGGCTCCTCATCGATAGAGCTCACCACGCGAGATGACCTCTCCATGCTGTACCGCGTCCTCCGCTTCCTCATCAAGCCGCTGCGGCCGCGCCTCGTCCGCCCGCCCAAGACACCACATCCAGAGGGGAGCCCGCGCCTTTCCCCACCCAAGAAGCGCAACATCGTGATCAAAGAGACGAAGCTGGAGGGCATATGGATGTATCATCTGCACGCGCTGGGGCCGAGAAGCGAGAAGAAGCAGGGGATCGAGAAAGCTCAGGGGAACGAGCAGAAGGATGACCTCGGGAACGCGGACGCGGACGTGGACGCGGGGAGCAACTTCCCCAGCCCGCACAGCGGGAGATCCAAGGGAAGAGGCTTCGAACGCAAACACTGTGTGTATTATTTCTCGGGCGGAGGGTTTCAGTCACCTCCCTCGGGCGAGCATTGGCGGTTCCTGGCCCAGCTTGCGCAGGACCTGGTGGGTCACCGATCCTCCGTCACGTTCCCGGGGAGTCAGAGGTCCGTGGACCCGGCCAGCGACGCCAAGATCGAGCTGATCATGGTGTCGTATCCGCTCGCGCCGAACAGTCCGGCCAGCGAGAGCCTGAGGGTGTTGAGGAACTGGCTGCGCCGGGTGCTGGACGATGCCGTGATCAACAAAGAGACCGTGTCGCTGATGGGCGACAGCAGCGGCGGCAACGTCATCATGTCGCTTGGATTCTGGGCTGTGCAGAACTACGACGTTGGATCGGGATTCCCGTCTACCGCGACAGGCCAAGGCCAGAGCCAGAGCCGGAGTCAGAGCCAGAGCCAGAGTGCAGACTTCAACGATGGACCACCCGACGGCAGCAAGGGCGAGCGAGAGACACAAAGGACGCACTTTCCGTTGACGTCGCTGCTCTCGATCTCCGGCCCCATGGACCTGACGAACTCGTCGCCCGATGTCCCACGTGCGGGTGCGCTCGACTGCGTGCTCACCGAGGAGATGACAAACGCGGTGGCCAATATATGGTGCGGGCATGATCGGAACCGTCCTTCGCAATATTCCCCCGTCGCGCTGTCAGCGCCGGAGGTGTCGCCCCTCTTCCAGCCTGATGCGGCCTTCCGGGCTCTCAGAGATAAGAAGCTGAATGTGCATGGAGTGTATGGCACGCATGATGTCCTGAGTCCCAGCGGGATAGACTTTATGAAGAAGTGCCAAAGGTTAGGGGTCAGGGGCAGATGGCTCGTGTGGGAGGGTCAGATGCATTGCTTCCCGCTTGCCGCGGGAGGCGACCGGCTGGGGATCCGCGAGGGGAGAGAGGCACGGAAGTTTGTCGAGTCGGTATTGAGGGCGGATGCTGAGATGGAGGACTGAAACTCGTTTCGATCGCCAGCAGAATAATGGGCCCTGGAGAATGTTGGTGGGAAGGTTGTGCCATGTAACGATGTGTATAATTCACACTTTGTATGAAAACAGTAGAGTTGGATCTTGGGGCTGGGTCTCATCTCCCTGTATAAGAATCCGATCCAGGCCATGATTGACAGATTGTCCCCGTGGTCGAGTGGTTTGATGGCCGGCCTTCCCGCTATCTCGAACCATCTGGCTCTGGCTTCGGATCTGGCCCAGCTCCCTGTGACGGATCTTCAAGCAAGCCTCTTTGCCCCAGTGTGATGATCGCCTCGAGGACCCGCTTCCTCTCCTCTTCCTGTTCTTTCTCAACCATCACCTCCCACAATCCCTTCCTTCTCGAAGGCCCAGAAACGTTGGACGACAGCCCTCTATCCGACTTGGCCACGTCTAGTGTACCACCGGCGGCTCGGCGACCCTTCTGCGACAAATCGTGCGAGTACCGACAGTTCGAGGCGTACCTGCACGTTTTGTACTTGACAAAATGCTGGCAAAGCCGAGGAGCCTTGGCTTTGGCTCTCTGCGCAACGGGAGTCAGAGCCAGAGAGTCACGGGTGCGATGTGGCTGTTTCGTGCTCGTCACTTCTGGAGCGGAGTCTGCGTCGGAGTCTGAATCTGAGTCTGGAGAGGTATCATCTGAGTCAGAATCGGAGTCGGAGTCAGAGTCTATGGTGGATGAACCAGAAGAGGATGTCTCGTCTTCACCGCGTATAGCGACTGGAGTCGTTGGGGCATCGAGCGGGTTCAACGACGGGCCTTGACTTGGAATATCGTCGATCGGCACTGGTAGAGCCTCTTCGTCCTTCTGAGACTGGACGAGCCGCAACGCCTCCTCGGCCTTTTCGAGGTCTCGTTGCGCTTTCAGTGCCCGTTTCCTCAGTTTCTCGGCTTTGAGCCTTGCCCGACTGGCCTCATCTAATGAAGCTTCGTCTTTGATGCGTCGTTTGTTGTCTGAATCTTTCGCCTTCTGACGCTCCGTCCTTTCCTGCTCTTTCGCCCTCTGTCGCTCTGCCCTTTCCTGCTCTCTCTTCAATTGAGCCTCCTTCCTGGCTTCTAGTCTGGCTTGATATTCCTCCTCCCGCTTCCTTTTCTTGAGATCAGCCTCTTTCCTCGCCGCTTCTCGCTTTGCTTCTGTGGGGTATCGTCGCTTTCTCTCTGCTATCCAAGCCAAAATCTCTTCGCGGCTCCGTAGCAGGAGCGGGCTGCCATTGTATTCGAATACATATCCCGTCGAGGCTGGGGTTGTTTGGTCGGCGAGTCGCCGCTCCTCGTCCTCATCGTCTTCTGGGTCCGAATCTTGCTCGAACTTTGCTGGCGTGAGGCCAAGGAGATTCTGCTTCTTCTGCTCAGGCCGCTGCGGGTCCGGCGGCGTCTGATTCGGCTGTTCAATGGATGGCTGGCGAGCCAGAAGATGTTGAATTGGGGCGTTGAAGTTAGGGACCGCGGGCGGAGCTGTAGGGCGTGGACGGTGTTGCTGCTGCTGTTGCGTCGGTGCGAATGCAGTGTTATAGTCTCTCTTCTGCTGTCCATGGAACTGACCGCCTCGCGATGAACCGTTGTGCAACGGTCTACTGGGATTCGACCAGTTCTGGCCGTGATTCATAAAATTGCCATGTCCTCCCGCGCGATGGTTGGCGTGGCCACCACGACCGCCTCTAGTAGTGGCTCTAGAGGCATGCCCACCCCTAAATGAGCCTCTGCCATTTTGATAGCCTTGATTCTGGGGGAATGCCCTGTCTGTTGTTCGCTTGGGAGGAGGTGGTGGCGGAGGAGGGAAGGAGAAGGGCTGGCTAGACATCGAGTCGCGGGGATTGCGGACCTTATCGTCCGTGGGAAACCAATGTGACGCGGGGCTTGTAGGCCATGGTACCAAATCGAGTTGATATCCTAAGCCAGTTTGTGCTGTATCTCGCTCTCGAAGACGATCTCGATGCGCTGCGATCTGCAAGGCTGCGCAAGGCTGTTGCCCGCGCCGCCCCCCATCAACCAATAATTTCTTGCTTCTGCTTCTGAGCAGAAGTCGGTTCCTCGCCTTCGAAGCAACGACTTGTCACTTTCCAAACTCGACTATACGGAATAGCACTTGGACAACCCGACCATGCAACTGTCCGTGTCAGCGGAATCAGAGTTACATACGTATTCGCTCTCTCGGTAACGACATGTTTATTCTAGTATGAACGACTGCCTCTCGTTCAACCGGAGCATTTGACACTAACGAATGAGACAACTTTCGAGGATCTGGTCCAGATACCGCCTCATGGACTGGTAAACAACAAAATCACGCGACAAGACCTGGAAGATCGGATCAACGAGAAATATTCAAACAAAGTCTGCTATTCTCCGCACGAAACCCAGTCGCTACCTCTGACTGACTGAGACATGGTAGGTCGTGCAAAAGGTTGGACTCTGCATCTGCATGTACGACCTTGTGAAAGCATCGGATGGCTTGATCGGCCACGGCACGGGCAACGTCAATGTTAATGGTAGGGGGAGAAGACCGCGTCACTACGTTGCATGCTCGTCCCAATGACAGACATATACAGTTCAATTCCGGATGATCGTGTTTCGGCCGTTCAAGAACGAAATCCTGACCGGCCGCATCACGAAATGTACAGCTGAGGGCATTCGAGGTGAGTGCCTGTCTTACTGGTACGGGAAGAAGCTAAATGGTTATACCAGTTTCTGTGCGGTTCTTCGACAACATCTTTGTGCCTTCAACCATGCTTTTCGACGGCTGTAACTAGTGGGTTTGATCAAGTGTGATTGGGTATGAGTTTTTACTGAGTTACGCGTATAGTGATGCCAACGAGCAGACCTGGATCTGGCACACAGAGGGCGAGAACGAGGACGAGGAGGCCAACGACCTCTTCCTGGACGTTGGGGACACTGTCAATTTCCGGATTGAATCCGAAAGCTGGCACGATCAAGCACCAGCTGCGCCCAAGATTCGGAGGCCTGGCGAGTCAGAATCCGTGACCGATTACAAGCCTCCCTACTCGATCGAGGTATGTTCAGTTACTTGGGCGTGATGAGTGATTCTGACGTTGAGCTAGGCGTCGATGACCGAACAGGGGCTAGGTGGTGTCCATTGGTGGTGACATTTTGAGAATAGCAACAAGACCCTCTTTTCAATTATGCCCGAGTCTGCGCAAAATGAACGAGGCTCTCGGGCTCGATTGTTGCAGCAACAAGGTACCCTGCCCCAGTGAGAGACTAAACCTGGCTGAGACCTGGAGTTGGCATGGTGCTGGCATTCCTAGACGCAGCGATTGATGAGCGATGACTGAGTCCATCGGTTGGCAGAAATAGCGTGCCAGAGCTCATGCTACGAGTACGATTGAATGAGCGAGCTAAGCACCGTTGATCCACGGTTAATCGGTTGAGGGGTGGCAATGTGGGCGAGACTGGTGATGCCCCTGGCAGGGTTTGTCATCAGCGCCCTTTTACGCCGCTAAAGGGTAGAATTTGTGGAGGAGGCGATGCCTGGGACGCGTGCTTAACTAGGGCTGCTTTAACTAGGGCTGCCCTTAATTAGTGCTGCTTCAGGGTCGCTTCAGCTGCTAGATCCCCGTGGATCCCGTCCCCAAAGCACGTCATCTCTCTTGCCCCTTTATTCATTGCTTACCAGACACTCAATGAATCCAATAAATTCCATCACCAACGAGTCGCCTGATAGAATCAATATTTCTCAAATATAATATTGCTCCATACATCTCTTATTTCCTGGTCGCTTTTGTTTTCCTTCTCGTTATTCTCTGCTCCGTGTTGCCGACTGTCTGTATACGTCCCTCCGTGCCTTGCGGGTCTTCTCCTTGACATACCCCTCCTCGAATTGTGGTACTCTTCCAATCGCCACCTCCAGGTCGCTGCTTGAGACCGTTGATACTTGAGCAGAGTTGCCTCATCCCTGCGGTCACTATGACTGCCCCAGTGGATGTCCCTGTCTCTCCTCGCCCTCTCCGCCCTCACGAGCGCATTCTCACGAACGAAGATGGCGCTATCAACACACCGGCTCGAGCCCCGACACCGGTCCTCAACTTCGGCACCCTAGCAGTTCACGCAGGCGCACCTCACGACCCAGCAACGGGCGCAGTCATCGAGTCCATCTCGCTCTCGACCACCTTCGCGCAAACAGCCGTGGGTAAGCCCATCGGCCTGTATGAGTACAGTCGCAGCGCAAACCCCAACCGTGACAACTTTGAAGAGGCAGTTGCTGCCCTGGAACATGCCAGGTTTGCTCTTGCCTTCTCCTCGGGCTCGGCCACGACAGCCACGATTCTGCAGTCACTGGCAGCGGGGTCGCATGTGATCTCAGTATCAGACGTCTACGGTGGCACACATCGATATTTCACAAAAGTCGCGCTCGCGCATGGTGTAGAGGTTACATTCTCGCCCTCTATCGAACTCGACATTGAAGAGCTAATCCGCGAACAAACGAAGCTCATCTGGATCGAGTCACCCTCGAACCCTACGCTGAGCCTGGTCGATATCCGGCACGTGGCGTCAATCGCTCACAAGCACGGTATACTGGTGGTGGTGGACAATACATTCCTTTCACCCTACGTCCAGAACCCGCTCGATCATGGAGCCGATATCGTTGTCCACTCCGTTACGAAATACATCAATGGACATTCAGATGTCGTCATGGGCGTCGCAGCTTTCAATTCCGAAGCACTGGAAGAACGGCTTACCTTTCTGCAGAACGCGATTGGCGCCGTGCCTTCGCCATTCGATTGCTGGCTCGCTCACAGGGGTTTGAAGACCCTGCATCTCCGGGCGAGAGAGGCGAGCAGGAACGCATTGGAAGTCGCGAGGGCACTGGAAGCTTCACCAAATGTCATTGCAGTCAATTATCCAGGCCTGGACTCGCACAAACAGAGAGATATCGCCGTCAAGCAGCATCGTGATGGTATGGGTGGCGGTATGCTCAGCTTCAGGCTGAAAGGGGGCCACTCAGCTGCGGAGCGTTTCTGTCAGCAGACCCGAATCTTCACGTTGGCCGAGAGTCTGGGCGGCGTGGAAAGTCTCTGCGAAGTACCGAGCGCTATGACACATGCTGGTATCCCGAAAGAGCAACGTGAGGCTATCGGGGTGTTTGACGATCTCGTCAGACTAAGTTGTGGTGTCGAAGATGCAGACGATCTGAAGAAGGATGTTCTGCAGGCCTTGGAGAAGGCCATCGTTGGGCCGAAGATCTCGAATGGCTTGAACGGGACGAAGTGAGGAGCAGGCATAGCTTTGTGGCCTACAAGGCGAGATTTGATCGAACGAGATAAAGATCTTCCTCAGTCTGCGCCTACTTCCTCCGTGATTCGAGATCTACACGGTTTTCGGACGCTGTGGAGCGGTTCCAAGACGCAGGCACCCGGAGTTCATTCTGTGGCATTCTCATGGGGCTGGGATGATGATGATGTGAACAGCATCAGGATTCACGCTCCAGTGCGATGACGCGACCAGAACACGGCAGCGCGACGATGGTAGTATTGGACGGGGCTGGCTGCACCCATGCCTCCACGACCCGGCGTGTCACCACATCGAGAATCTTCACCGCATCTTGAGCATTATGCTTGGTAAAGATATGGCCCTCCCATGATATACTATGGAGGCCAGGCGACTGCCTATACACCTCGGCAGAGTGCCTGCTTGTAGATGGGGACGGGACTTATGATCAGCAAGATACAAGACATGAACTTTCCGACGGGGACGAGAGGCGTTTGCATAGATGCCCGTGGTTATAACCACACGGTACTTTTGGTTTATGCCTACAAAGATCATGTCTATAATGCCGACCTCATTCAGTCGTCGCCTACCTTAGACACTACCGCTTGGAACATCTCCGGGCTTGGAGTTTCTTGACTCGGGTTGCCTCTTCCCGGATATCATTGAATGCTCTTATTACTTTCCCAGTCACTCACTGTTAATTCTACTTTTCCTTCTCCTCGACAACACGTACAACTCCCGATTCGTCTAGTGATCTCCTTGCCGTGAAGCCATCTTCCTGCTCCGTCTTGGCCTATCCGTATCAAAGATGGCCGTAGCCTCGGGAACAGCAAGCTCCGCGTCCCAAGAGCATCTGAAGCTGACCTTAACCACAAGAGGACAGCCTTAGGCACGGGCCGCCGAAAGTCATATTCAAAGCATGCCTTGAGCGTTGTCGAGATTGGCCGTTCGAGGTTGTCCCTTTGAAGCCGTTTTGGGGGCCCGATTCACCTCGCCTTCAGGCCCCCCGTCGACACTCTTGGGCACTTGTGGTCGACTGGTGGCGACAGACAGCGCTCGCTCACTGGGATGCTCCCTCATCGCGTCTTGAAACTGTACCCCCTGGACATCTAAAAAGAAATGCACGGCTGGCGCATTTCGTGGAACTGTGCTATGGAACCATGGCAAAACCGCGTGTTAAACGGCATCACCACAAAGTGAAGACCGGTTGCACGACATGCAGAGTATGTTGCCTTGTTCCCGTCCCATATCAACACCTCATTGTCCACATGCCTTGTATACACCATATACCAGTTTGATAGCTAGCTCTATTGAGGGGACCCAGGTCTAACGACGAGAACAGCTTCGTCGGGTCAAGTGTGATGAAGGGAAACCGAGCTGTCGCAGATGCACCACCGCTGGTCGGATTTGTGATGGCTACGATCAACAGTCCAAGGCTGCCATTAGTCTATCGTGGGAAAATCATCCATGGACTCACTCCTGGACGCCATTCGTGAGGCCTGCTAACGGCGGCGTTGAAGCTTCACCTGAATCCTACGCGTTGCCACAGCTTCTGTTGCCTCCTCGACTCCTAGTCTTTGACAGTGCTGAAGAACAGCAAAGCTACGATTTCTTCCGGTCCCGGTCCGTGGGTGAACTGACCGAAGTGTTCCACATTGACGAGACTTTCTGGAACTTATGCGTCCTCCAAATGTCCATGACCCAGCCGGCGGTACGGTATGCTGTCGCCGCACTTGGAGCCATGCATCGGATATACGGCACGGGTAACACCACCGCCATACCCGAAGATACATCGGGCTCTCAAACACGGTTTGCTCTGGAGCAATGCAACCGGTCGATCAAATCGCTGTTGGAAAGGAGAGGATCCGAAGCGAGGGCCGAGAAGCTTTCCACACTCGTGGCGTGCATCTTGTACACGTGCCTTGCCAGCATCCAAGGACATCAAAGGCAATCCATCATGCACTTACGAAATGGGATGAAGTTGCTTGACAACCTCGTACAACAAAAGGATGTCAACAACAGCGGTCCGTTGACCTCCTACAACACCCAAATCCAATCATTCCTCACGACGTTGAGCAGCCTCGAAATCCAGGCACGCAGCTTGATGTGTGAAGAAGACCTACCTGCGTGGCCTACACGGACCAGAATCCGCGGCTCGTCGTTCCCGCCCACCGACATCAGATTCTCCAGCCTCTCCGAAGCGCGGGATTTCTTCGAGTCCGTCCTGAGCGACTTTCAATGCTTCGCCCTGGAGAGGGATACGGAGAATGAGTGGTTGCTCAGCCCGGGCGCCAGTCCACGCCGTTCCGTCATGGACGACTACGAGCTACTCGTGAAGAAGCACTCCTTTGGCGTAGAAGCGCTCGAGTCCTTCATCGCCAAACACGACGATGACCTAGACAAGCGAGATCAAAAGACCATCCTAATGCTGAGACTGCACATCGACATCGTGGAAATGTACCTCCGAGTGTACCCGCTGTCGCTGAAACACGGAGAACTGGCGTGGGACCACCTCGAGCCTTACTATTTGAGAATCATCCGTCTGGGCCGACAGATCCTAGGCTGTACCGAAGACCAGTTGTCCAGCATGCTCTGCTCGCCTTCCGAGGTGGAGAAAACAAGTACGACTACTACTACACATGACCACTCCGGCAAAACACACAAATACCCAAAGATCCCTCCTGCAGCGTCGATCCTGAAGAAGGAGCAGTATACCCAGAGACAGCACCGCCCTGTCTTTGCGTTCAGCCAAGGAGTCGTGGGTCCCCTGTCCACCGTCGCCGTGATGAGCCGGTCGCCGAACGTGCGGCGCGAAGCAATCGCCCTGCTCTTGCTGTATCCGCGTCGAGAGGGCCTGTGGGACAGCCACACCGCTGGACGCGTGGCTTGGGTCGGGATGTGTCTGGAAGAAGAAATGGCTCTGGAACGGCGAGGCCAACACCATGAAGAAGAACGTGAGATCAAAGCCGCTTCAGACATTCCCGCCGAATGCAGAGTCAGGGTCGTGGACATGAAATACATTGGAGCGCGCACGGGCGAGATCCATTACAACACGGGGAAACAATGCGAGAAAGGCGACAAAGGCGAGAAATGCAAGGTGGTGAAGATCCTAGAGTGGTAACCAACCCGCCGCCATATCGTCGCGAAAACAAAATAGGGACAGGATCAATGCCACTATCGCGCCCGTGCTGATACATGATGTGTCCCTCGAGGGTGTGTGTGAGCGGGTGGGCGATCGAGCAAGCAGTATGCAATCAATCAGACTCGATCGACCGTTTGTGATGTGTGTACAGTACAGTACGGACTATATCCTGGCGGCAGCCCTGGCTGGCTTATGTATTTCCAAGCATCAAGCAAGACCTACAGTACAGTATCTACTCAGTCGTTGCTGGCCGTAGATACGTCAGGCACAAAGCACACTGCAGTAACACTATGTATATTATATAGGTACCTTGGCTCCAGATTCCAGAATCCAGACTCCAGAATCCAGTGCCCTGACCACACTGGAACTGACACACATGACCGTCTCAGGCGCGGCCGCATTCATGCCCCGATACATATCCCCAACCTATGAATCAGGCAAGTGTTAGAGCTTCAGAAAGGCGTCGATGAAACGGATACGACTTACTACTGTGTACCCTTTCGATCGCCAAATAGGAACTTTGCGCCAAACTACAGTAATGTCAGGGACTAGGTACATACGAGCAGCGACGGTCTCTTCTGCGCCGTCAGAGAGTGACTAACCTGTCGTGCCTGTTTTGCATCTTGTTCTACGGAGTACGTGATTGAGAGTTTATCTCCCGTGCAACTATTGTACGCGGATTGGCGCTGTAGAGCGGCGTGACACCACATGGGCGTGTTCCATTAGGAGAGAATTCAAGGGTACACTGCAGTAGGTACCTCTCACAGCACTGAGTACCACCCATCACTCCCTCCAACATGCCTACTTGATATTGGTGAATTGGCGTCGTTGATGTGCAGTATGGACGTACGTACGTATGAATGCACGCATGGACGTATGCATGGACATATGAATGCTAACCATGGACGTAGACTCTCACTCCAGCCCGTCTCCCATCCACAGACGCAACGTAGCACACACGGTACTGTAAAGTGTTTGACGACGGGAGGAGGAGGTCAGAGAAACAAGCCAGTCCATCAGGGAGGACTCCGTACAGTACTCCGTACAGTAGGAAAGACGCCATGGCCAATTGGCGCTGAAGATATCAGGACGCACAGATGGGCAAGTGGGAGGCACGTTGTGGGATTGATACCCCCTACACTGCATGCCCGCCTTCCATACTGGCACCCTGGCACCGTGACACGCTGGATGATTCTGTACTGACTGGCTCGCTCGCTCGTGGCCGTATACCTTTATATTGATGATGTGCTCGTCCCCGCTATATGGGTATCTCGATGCGTCAAAAACGATCGCAAAGAAAAGAGGAAGTAAAAGGAGAACCAAAACTCATGCCCCCCGCGCGCCGTGCCAAAGGTACAAAAGTCTCATAACTCATCCAGCTTCCTTAGCCTGGGGTCTTCGTGGGTTTCATCTTTGCTGGTCTGCTCGGCCGATTCACCATAACTCCCGTACAGTCCCGACGGGACTTCTGGAAACGCCTTCTTCCTCTGGAAATTCCTCTCCGCGATCCCGGCCAGGATCTGCTTCACGTCGTCCGGCACGTTGGGTCTTTGGGCCGATTCCGCGGCAACCTCCCCATCCCGACCGAGGAGTACTCTCTCAGCTTCACCTCCGCCGCCAAGCCGGAGACTCTTGTTCCAGCTGCCTTCGCCGTGCTGTCGAAGCCCAGCCTTCACCGGATCGCCCCGGAAATACCATTCCTTCCCGACGACGGCCGCCACGACCAGAATGACCACAGACGCAATCGTCCACCAGCACATTCCCCAAACACGATCCCACGCCCGCCGAGACTTCTCTTCCCTCCTTTCCCACTCCTCGACCTTTACCCTCGCGGCCTCCAGTCTAGCGGACAGCTCCGTCGCCCTTTCACTTGCCCGTGTGCCCCTCTCGGCCAACTTCTGCGCCCTGGCCTGTTGCGTGTCGAACCCGTGGCGAAAATTCACGAGTCGCTGCCGCGTATCTTCGGAGATCCTGCCATTTTCGCGATCGAAATTGGAAATGAGCGTTCCGCTCTGTTTAGCCAGCGACTGGAAACTGCCAATCATGGACACCAGATTACCGACTTTCTCCAGTAGGTTGTAGTAGCCGTAGTCTAAGCGTCTTGTGATCTCGACCCCCGTGGCGTTGATTTCAGATACCCGGGAGCGGAGTTCCTCTTCGCCAGCCTGGAGTTCTTGATCGCGACGGAGGATGACACTCTTTTTGACGTGGATACGACGGGCTACGCGGGCGGCGTCACCTCTTTCCAGAGTCTCTTCTAGGGATGTCTTTGGCCGAAGCGGGGGTTGGGCTGAACGGGAGAGGTTATCTCGTGACGCCGGGTCAGACGTCGCGCGGCGTCGTAGCTCGGGGAATCCGTTGGGGGGGTTGTAGTCGTAGCGGCCACCGGGTTGGAAGTCATTGGTGTGTGCGGTTGAGGGCCCAAAGGGATGCTGGGTCTGTGCTTGTGAGAGTGTAGCGCCAGGACCATGGCGATGGGAGGGATTGATGGGATTATGCGTGTTCCCCTGCTGAGTACGGCGTTCGCGTTCGGCGTTCAAGCCGGCCACGAGATGAGGGAGGGAGGAGAGGGGTTCTTTGGACGCAAATCGACGAGGCGCGTGCGCTTCGGACTGCGTCGGTCGGTGTCGGCGGAAGGGGAGACTGTGCGCCGAGTCATTGTTCTGCGGAGAGATGTTCGTGTGAGATTGAGTGTGCCTATGATGGCTTGACGTGTGGTCTTTCTCTTTATGATGATGTCTATGCGAAGAGCCGGGCAGGTGTAATAGCGATGCTGTCCGTTCCAAGGCACCCGTTGCTGAAGGCAATGTGTGTGCATTGCGTGGTTTGTCTTCTTGTCTAGATTCCGAAGGCGATAGATACGACTGAGATCGGACATGGGGTGGCCGTGTACCCTGAGGTTTCGGCTCTGCAGTCCCGCGGGCAGTTAGAGGCGGGCCTGCTTTCGAGGCATCGCTGTGGGAGCGAGAACGGGACAGAGCCGGCCGCTGTCTTGTAGAAGTGGTAGGGGCTACGAGGGTCATGGGCTCGCCGAACATGGCGGCTACAAAGATGTGCTGTAACTAATGTGATGGCAACATTGCACGATCTTGACCTTGGGCACCAAGGGAGAGAGTAGGCGCCTCACCATCTGGTAGCAGCGCAGATTGTCAGTCGGACGTCAATCGAGGTAGAAAGTCACGTGCACGCAAGGCTGAGGTTCATCGATCAGGCTGGAGACACGCGCAATTCACGAATTACAATATCAGTTGAACATGTTTGATTCGAGTATCTAGGAGACTAGAAGGCCCACGCTCAGACTTCGCGAAGCAGTCCAGTCGCTCCACATTCCAATATGCTTGCAATACCAATCGATGTTCCAGTCTGTGCTATCAACATTCGCGTTATTGTGACTCGCTTCGTGCACCCGTTCTCATTGATCTCGTCAACTTCGCATGATCGACAACATTTCACCTTTGATGGGTGGTCGCTCATTCCATCTACCGGACTTGCCACAGCCCAAAGCTTTTCGTCTCTCACTTGCGAAGTCTGCGTAGTTGCCGGTACCGCAGAGCTCGCCAACGTCAGAAAGGTGTTGCGGAGCCAGAGTCAATGGGCAGCATTTAGCCGGGATCAGTACTCGGCGCCACCCTCGTCTTCAGCTTCAAGGCTGTCGCTTGCTACTTCTTCGTAGTCCTTCTCCAGGGCTGCGAGGTCTTCTCGGGCTTCGGAAAACTCGCCTTCCTCCATACCCTCACCGACATACCAGTGCACGAAGGCTCGCTTCGAGTACATAAGATCGAATTTGTGGTCAAGTCGGCTCCAAGCTTCGGCAATTGCTGTAGTGTTGGAAAGCATGCTCACGGATCGGTCGACCTTGGCGAGTTCACCACCAGGAACAGGCATGGCTGAATAAGTGTTAGTTGCAGAAATTTGAAGGACAGGAACAGAAGGCTTACGAGGCTGGTAGTTGATGCCGACCTTGAAGCCGGTAGGACACCAATCGACCAAGTGAAAGCTTGACTTGGCCTTGAGGGACGCAATGGCAGCGTTGGCGTCACGAGGCACGACATCACCACGGTAGAGTAGAGCAACGGCCATGTATTTTCCGTTCCGGGGGTCGCAGACTACCATCTGGTTGTTGGGCTCAAAGCACTGCAGAGTCAGGTCATGGACCTTGAAACTCTCATGAGACGATCGCTTGGTGGAAACGACAGGAGCGTAGCTGATGAGCGGATAGTGGATGCGAGGGTATGGCACTAAGTTGGTCTGGAACTCATTCAAGTCGACATTCAATGCACCGTCAAAGCGTAGACTTGACGTCACGGAGGAGACGACCTGGGCAATGAGGCGGTTCAAGTGCTCGTAGTCGGGGCGAGGAATATCCAGGTTGCGGCGGCAGATGTCGTAGACGGCCTCGTTATCAACCAGGAAGGTGCAGTCGGCATGCTCAATGGTGCTGTGAGTAGAGAGGACGGCATTGTAGGGCTCGACCACGGATGAGGAGACTTGAGGGGCAGGGTAGACGGCAAACTCGAGCTTGCATTTCTTGCCATAGTCGACTGACAGTCTCTCAAGGAGAAGAGCGCCGAAGCCAGACCCGGTACCGCCCCCGAAGGAATGGAAGATCAAGAAGCCCTGAAGCGAGGAGCAGTTGTCTAAAACTTGGTGAGCTGATCTGTTCCGGTTGGCGGCACTCCAGTCTCGCTCTCACCTGCAACGCGACGAACTTTGTCCAAGACATCGTCGACGAGCTCCTTTCCAATGGTGTAATGACCGCGAGCATAGTTGTTTGCCGCATCCTCTTTCCCGCTGATCAAGAGTTCTGGGTGGAACAATTGTCTGTATTTGCCGGTCCGGATTTCGTCAATTGGAGAGGGGTCAAGGTCGACGAAGATGGAACGGGGGACATGTTTGTTGTTGCTTGTCTCGTTGAAAAAGGTCTCAAAGGCACCAGGATCGCCGACTTGGGCATCCGGATCCGGACGGCCATCCGCCTTCAGACCGTGTTCGAGGAGGTAGCTGTCGTTGCGATTAGCATTCGGGTAATTCGAAATGGCGGTGGGCGCGCTTCATACAGTTCCCAAGCGGCATTACCGAGCTGAGTGCCAGCCTGCCCAATGTGCAGGTGGCAGACCTGTCAAGGAGCTGTCAGGACGCGTCTTTTTCCGATCAAGAATAGCTATGGCCTCGAAAGTGGCTGTGGTGTTGTTGTTTGTTGACTCGGGCCAGGCAGCGTGGAGGGGTACCAAACCAGAGGGCAGATCACTTACCTCACCGTGCATTCTGCTGAGTTTGACAGATTGAGCACAATAGAAGCTGAAAGCTGACGCAAGACAGGATACGGTACAGACGTTGAGAGCCTGTATGGTGTTTGCAGACAGGCAGGACGAAGATGAACAGGTCAACCAGGAAAGGTCAAGATCAAGATGCGCGGATTGTGAATTGGGCTCTGTTTGTGTATCTACTGCGATTGGCGCGTGCAGTTTTGGGGAAGGACGGAACGGGAAGATTAGGTAAACACGCCAAGCCGAGCACCCCGAGAACGTGACCGCCAGTGCCGCCCTCAGGCTACTGCCTCGCGCTCCCGTACCTGCAGCGTGGCGCTCCTTGCACCGCTTGTGCTTTGAAAATCACACGCGTACTGTCCTCTTCGTTCAGTGAAGACTAGGACGCGACTCGTGGCACATACATGGACTGACTAAGTGAGAAACCAAAGGAGGCAGCCAACTCCGTTTAAGAACAGCTGTTAGCATCCCCTTCCTTGTGTAACACGTTAGGGTAGTAGAGAGCTTTCTACAGTCAAACAACAGCGAGCCAGGATTCCTATGTTTCCTTGCGAACCACTCTCACGTTCAAGATCTTTCCTCTGATATATTGAGAAAAGAGCACGAATTGAGCTTCCCCCTTCGGACTGCATAGCTATCATACCATTAACAAGATCAATGCCCGACCTCATTCAGTGTTGAGTGCTTCCATCGAGAAGTGTCAACGACTTCCTTTCGTGTTATTGGTATGCGATGAATACCACCGAAATTCGAGCTTGGTACTCCGTGTGCACAGTACGGTCTTCAGGAGGACGGCTTCAGAGTATTGAACTCCGCCATCTGCTCTGATTGCACTCCTGTCGTCGATAAGGGAAGTAGCAAGTCGCAATCTTCAAGAGACGAGCAGAGGGGGCGAGATGAAACAAGGTTTTATCACAACCGGCTGGTGGCCAACGGCGCGGCGCCACAACTGATAAGAGCCGCCGGTACTTTCGGCGAGTAAAATCCCGACATCTAGCAGGGCATCTCGCAATGAGAAAAAGAGACGACGAGGACTCGCAGCGGAGAAAGAAAAGAACCGCATTTACGAAATGGGAGGCCGAGTAAGCAAGGAAGCGACACGCAGCAAGAGTAAGCGAGCTCATCTTCCCGTATCTGCTCGGTCAGGCAATGGGCAGCTGAACGTACCCCGTACACAGAACTCCATAGCCGAAGCAGGCATTACAGACGGAGGAAGAGTACACTAACCTCAGATGCACATGAAATTTCAGCTGAAGATCGCTTCTGATATTTTCGTCCTCGGCAGCGGTGCATGAGTGCTGGTTGTGCAAAGCTCCTCTCGCGATCTACACCTACCCAAGTCGTCCAGAGAACTTGTAAGAACGCTCACTCGATCTCGATCACGCTGCAAGAGAGTTGTCTGTGGCCGAGATGGATCTGTACGGGCATGGATTGCTTCCTGAAAGTTGAAACATGGCCGAGAAAATGATGCAACAGGGATCCGCAATGGCCAACCCACTCACCGGGAGTGAGGACCAAGAGGTTTGGCATGAGCGGCTTTTTCAGGGGGCTTTGCGCCTATGGCGATTGTCTGGGGCGCAGTTAGGCAGGGCCTGAAAGCTTCTGAACGCCCGTGGTCCACAATAGGATTGGGCTTTGGCCGGATCGAGTGCCCTTGGAACCCCACCAGAAGCACGTTGAGTGGGCATCCCTGTCAATCAGGCTTGTTAACTGGCGACCTCTTTTCGTGCAGTGCCGTTGCTCATGGCGAAAGTTACACGCGCCGAGTGCATTTCAGCACTGACATCTGCAGCTTGCATAAAATCGAGAGGAGAACGCCCGCGTCGAATCGGCCTCCGTTGGGCTTTCGTCACGTCTTCCATTGTATTCTCTCGTTCAGATATAGACTTAAGAGCAATATTCATTCAGCTCATCCTCGTTCCCATCTCCACGTCACGTCCACCTTGGGTCATCGCCTATACCCGATCTCCGCACCATCTCTGACCAAGTTTATAGGTGCTCGCTCACCACCTCTACATTCGCTTTTGAGCCGCTGGCCGGCACCTTTTACACTACCTTTCCTGACGACGGGAAACGCTCTGAGTTCCCCCTGTCTCGCCCTCCCGGCTGACCTCACTGTCATCCACAACCGCCCACTATCGTCATGACGACCCCGGAGAAAGAGCTTCCTCAATTCGAATTTGACCCTGCAAGCAAAAGAGTCTCAGATGATGAAAGTACGGCGGTTGAAAATGAGAGGCATGACGGGTCTGTCGATAGTCAACTCCTGCACGACCGGTTGAAGGTGGAAACTCTACGTCGAGATACGGATGGACGTTTTGAGGAGCCTCGATCTCCGTCTAAGACACGAGAAGAGGCACACCGTCTTGAGGATGAGTTGGCTGTACAGAGAGCTGAAAGACTCACCTCGAGAGAAACTCGTCAATCCGATGGGCGGCATTCGACAGATCTTCACCGTTCGCGGTCACGGGCCCCAGAGCCATTGGACGAATTCGATACAGCTACCAATCCGATCCACGAACGCACTGCCATCTACAAGCCGCCTGAGAATCCGAGTACCAAGATCTCCAAGTTTTTCAAGTACATTCACCACAAGAGCTTTGTCATACGCTATTTTACATACATCGTCCCGGTCTTCGCGTTGCTCTTAATACCGATATTGGTTGGGGCGTTCCTCCCAGCGGCAGAACATGCCAGCGTTGGGGGCGTTGAGCTCATATGGTTCGGAGTGTGGCTCGAGATTATCTGGTTGACTCTTTGGGCTGGCCGGATCGTGGCTCGAATGATCCCATATCCTCTAGGCTTGATTTCGAGCCTGTTCACCAACAATTCCAAAAAATGGCGGGACTTGGGTAAAGCTCTGGAGCTACCCGCGACCATCTTCTTCTGGTGGCTTGGTATAGAGATCTCGTTCTTGCCTACCATGACTAACCATCATGTGGACAACACCAAGGCGACCAAGGAATGGGAAAGGACCCTCAACAAGGTCATCATCTCCATCTTTGTTGGTGCTACCGTCAACTTCATCGAGAAAATTATCATACAGCTGATCGCCATATCTTTCCACCTACGCACCTACGCCGACCGTATTGAGATCAATAAGTTTCAGATTGGGAGCTTGACGAAGCTGTACATCTACTCCAAGGCCAAGATCGCAATGGAAGACGAGGAATTCGAAGAGAAGAATGTTGAACCTGGGTCTGGCACCAAAACACCCGCCGTCTACGCTGCCCAAGCTCAAGAAGCGATCACCAAGGCCTTTGCCAAAGTGGGCGACGTCGCCGGCACGGTTGCTGGTGATTTCACTGGGAAGAAGGTCGCCAAAAGTGGTCATCCGTCCCAAGTCGTCCTGACATTACTCCACTACACCAGTGGCTCTCAAGTGCTTGCCCGTCGTTTGTATCGTACATTCGTACGGGAAGGTGCAGAGACGGTCTCGTCGGACGATCTCAAGCTCGCGTTTGACAACGATGAGGAAGCCGAAGCAGCTTTCAGCATGTTCGACAAGGATATGAACGGCGACATCTCCATGGAAGAACTGGAAGCGGTTTGTGTTGAAATCGGCAGAGAACGCAAGTCAATTACCGCCTCACTCAAAGACCTCGACTCTGTTGTCAGTAAACTTGACGATGTCTTGTTCTTCATCGTCTGCATCGTCACTATACTGGTCCTCGTCTCCTTGATTTCAACGTCGGCAGCCGGAGTCCTTACCTCTGCTGGTTCTGCAGTTCTCGCTCTGTCTTGGCTGTTTTCCGCCACTGCGCAAGAGTTCTTGCAATCGTGCATTTTCGTCTTTGTCAAACACCCCTTTGACGTTGGAGACCGGGTCTCGATCTACGGTAATACTGGGTCCTCGTTGAAGGGGGACGACTACTTTGTTAAGGAGATCTCACTGCTCTATACCGAGTTCAAGAAGATGGAAGGCCACATTGTTCAGGCACCAAACTCTTATCTCAACACCCTCTTCATCCTCAACATGCGCCGCTCTGGAGGTCTTGCCGAAGCAGTGCCTATTGTCATTAGATTTGGCACCACGCTGGACCAGATCGAAGCTCTGCGCAATTCCCTGCTCGAATTTGTCAGATCGGAGAAGCGCGAGTATCAGGGTAATATCCTGACTGAACTCCGAGAGGTAACTGAGGCGTACTCCCTGACTCTCAACGTGGTCTTCTTCTACAAATCGAACTGGCAGAACGAACTGCTTCGTCTCCAGAGAAGGAATAAATTCATATGTGCTATGATGGTGGCCATGCAAGAGATCGGCATTGAAGGTCCCCGCCGCAACCAAGCTGGTTGGAGACCAGACGTACCATACTTTATGCAATTGCCTCCTGGGGCACCTCCTCTGGTTGGTGGCAATGTGGCCAACGATTCCAATGGCGGTCACCCACCGGGCAACATCACAGGCGATCCGATACAGCAAACACCCGCTGTTGGGGCACCACCGATGCAATATCCTTCGATTTTGCGACGGCGCCCGAGTACGGGTCAACTCGGTCGCCCAAGAGGTGAATCTCTATCATCCATGGCTAAGAGAGTGGACTTCTCCTTGGGAATGAGGGATGTCAGCTCCGGCGAGCAACTCTCGGATGTCTACGAAGATCGCGACCGTTCACCATTCAGAGAGATTATCCAGGAATCCAACAGGATCGAAGACGAACGTCGAGTTTCCGAGTCACGAGATCGGGAGGGCCCCGCTAGGTCCAGTTCTCGTGACGCGGGAAACACGATGAGCGGTATTCTACGCAGATCAACTACACAAAGTTTTGGGGGTGGCAACAACCATAGGGCAGCATTAAGGGAGGGCGGACAGCATCGGGCATCTGTCAGCAGCACTGATACCCATCGCAACCGGTTTCTGAACCGTTTCAATCGAGGCGGCCGCAGTATGGATCAACCCCGCGATTCTCTTGCTGAAGAAGGTCAGGCGCCGCCTATGCCACCAGTACCGCAGAACATCGATGCCAGATCTGGGCAGGTCAGCTCCCAGGCGGTGCGCAATGATTCTAGTGCATCTGGCGGCGAGAACGTGCCATTCCCCGCATTGGCGCCCGCGAGCAGCAGAGTTGAAGATTTCGGGTTCAGGCCGTTAGGAGAGAGCTCCTCGAGCCAGCTGCGATGACCCGCTGCAAGGCAGTCGTCGTTCAGGAAGTGGTGGCGTGCTCGATGGAGCACATTCTGAAGACAAAAAGGTTACTTTCTTGGAAACGGCTGGGGGTCCACGGGGACAAAATCAGTGGCTCTAGCCCTGTCGGTGTTGTAAATTCCTTCTCTTCTTGGAAATGTTTACATCTATGAAGTAGTCTGAATTGGCTATGAGGTAATGAGAATAGACTTAGAGCTTACGAAGTAAAGGACGCCGCCGCTTTTGAAAGGCAAAAGGCCATGAGATGAGATATTGTCTATCACTCTATTTCTTGGATCACCAGTGTTTATCCGGCTTGACGGGTTGGCGCTGCGCCGATCTTCTTCTGCCCTAATTCCCTCGTCTGACAGACTTCGACTTTCTTCTTCTCAGGATTGTCCAGCAACAATCCGACAGCAAACATCACTTTCGGACAAGCCGCTGCGTGCGTTTTCATCACCCCCATTCCCACCGCTTCCCACCCAGCACTGCGACAGCAGCCCCTTCATGCCCCGATCTCAGTGCTCCATGATCCCGTCCAGTTCATCGCCGCGCCATGTATGCAAATCACGACAGGCTCGACCACCCTGTCAGAGCCATAGTCAAACTTGGTGAATTCTGGATCTCTGCTGCTTTGGCCTTCAAATTGTCGACGTCCCAATTCGCCCAGGCGAGCTTGCCCTTGAGGAATTTCGCCTCGGGACTGCACAGCCAGACCACGAATGAGGCCGCTAGTTCCGCTGCGCATGACATGTCAGCATTTTCAGGTACATACTGGGAGGAACTACTCACGCGTATCCGTGGGCGTGGACGCCCCATGCTTCGAGTTCAAATCACTCATGATGACACCAGGGTGCATATTGACAATGTGCATCTCCGGGTGCTCGTCTTGCAGGAAGTCAAAGATCCTCAAGGCGGCGAGCTTGCTGCTGCTGTAGGCGGAGAGTCCTGAGACCAGAGTAGTCGGTACATGTGCTACGCCTGTGGACATGTTGACTATTGTGGCGTTCGCGGGAGCCACGGGCAGGAATGCGCGAATCGAATTGAAGGCCCCGAGAATGTTGACTTCGAACGAGGTCCACCACTCTTTGGGGTCCGTGGTTGCTATCGGGCCCGGTGAAGCGAGGTGGCCGGCATTGTGGACGAGGATATCGACTGGGTTGACCGCTTGCTCCCGAATCTGCTTGAACGCGGCCTCTAGACTTGAGAAGGATGAGATATCCCCTGTGGCAGAGACGATTTTCGTGCCCGGGTATTGGCCTTTGAGTTTCGAGGTTGTCTCGTCCAGAGTCTTTTGAGTGCGTCCGACAATGCCGATGAAGCTAACTCCCGCTGTCGCGAGGGCTTCGACCGTTGCGAAGCCGATGGTGCCGCCGCCGCCTGAGACGATCGCAGATTTACCTTTCAAGGAGAGTTCGGGGCGGGAAGGGTCAATGCCTGGGTAAGTATCTGCGTGCCAGCCCTTAACGGGTGCGGGAAATGGTGGAGCATTAGCGGCGCCCATTGTTCTGAGACTTTCCAGGTGCCTTGGGTACAACAGGGACAGGTCTGAAGTTCGAAAGATCTTCGTGGCCTGTATACCCACGTGCTGGGTGAGCATTTCATCGTATATGTACCTTATGATGCTGACAAAGATGCATTAGGGATAATAATCCCATCGGTCTTTTGTGCCCATGTGCAGCAGCAGTGGGGATTTGGTCATTGACTTGCAATTGTACATGCTTGTACTTGGAGTCTGCAAAGATGGCAGTGGGCACGGCCATATAATTTCTAGTTTTGCCGTCTTACAAAGCATATGTATAGCGCACCGTCCCGGGCGCTAGCACCACGAGGCTGAGCAAGCCTCGGGACACAAACGGCTTAGACTGGTTTGTGAACAAACTCTCATTGAGACCTCAGGTATAGATTGTCCGCGCCCTTGACAGCATGCGATCCGTGCTAACATGGCTGATAGGCGACATAGCAATCGTCACAAAATGCGGATTCATTCAAACACCAAATGGACGGTTGTGCGAATTCATCGACAGGTCATTTATTCGGGACATGTGAGGTGACCTTCAGAAAATGAAGATTGATCTAAACACCAAGATGATGGTTGCGTCAATTCGTCCACAAGTGCTAACCAGGACAACTGAGGCAGTTTCATACCAGGCAAGTCCTCAATGATCGGGTGGTCCTTCCGCTCTTTGATGCTTCAGTTGTGGGCAGTTCGAGGTGAGGGATGGATGAGCTGTATGTGAAATGTCAACATGGAGGACACACTTCACTTGTGGAGGGGACAACGGGTCTATGGTGAATGTGAAGTTGTCACGCTGGATGACGCGTGAATCCAGCTTTCCTCAGTACTGTAAGTGAATCTTGTCTTCGGTGACGATGCCTCCGCCAAGCATATGTCGCTGTCGCCAATATTTTCGACGATAAGTACCACCTTCTCACTTGTCTGCAACTTTCCTTGATCTCTTTCTCCTATCCTTTCTCCTCAACTTCTCTTCCTCACCTTCATCCGTGCTCTCACGGCGTCTTCAAACTCCTTTACTACTGTCAACAACACTCACCGCCTTGCTTGTGTCCTCTAACGACATTGATCTCTGCCGCCGCCATGGTCAAGCTCAAGGGTAAGCGTCAACGAAACGCCAATCTGAACGACGACGGAAGCTGGAAGAGATTTGAAGCTGACTGATTGTTTTGTGCAGGCTGGCTGACGGGCTCGTTCCCGATCTCTCTCACACTCATCATCACTCTGTGCTGCAGTCTTCTCTCTGCTGGTCCTGTCCGCCGCGATGACTTGCTAGCGACACCCACGCCCGATGGTCTCTCCTCCGTCGGTGTGCACTCTCGGTCTGCGATCCGGTCCCATGGTCACACTCATCCCGGCCATTTCCCACCGTTCCCACCGCACGCCGCCCCCACTCGCGATGTCAAGCTCGAGGCTCCTGGCGCACACCAGCTCACTAATCCGGACACCGATCTGAACAACTACGCGATCAATTGCAATAACAATCACAAGGACACCAACGATTGTGGCAAGAAGGGTTTCTCTTGCAATAGCAATGGTGTACTTGCGACCTCTCATCCGGTGACAGACTACTTCTGCCTAGCCTCTTGCTGGTGTCAGAGTCTCTTATCGCCTCCAAAGCCGATCCCCTGCATCGTCAAGAACGGCAGAACGTGCCTGGTCGATAATGGCATTGCCACCAACGCTGATACAGGCGAAGTGGTCGGCGATGTGTCTCAGGCGAAGACCCTCTCGGACGGCACGCTAGACTTCACGGCACTTGTTGAGAAGCGCAATACCGATCTCGTCCACGACTACGCACTTGTTTGCGGTGACCGTGTGCTCACAGGATTGTGTCAAGCCTATGAGCACCGTTACTCTTGCAACGGAAATGGTCGAGTCATCCACGCGGGACTTGCAGAGAGAACCTGCGAGGCCATCTGCCAATGTATCAACCTTGTGCCCCGCCCCAGAATTCCTGTTCCCTGTTATGCCGACACACGCAAGAATGTCCAGCATTGCCATGTCATAGATGACAGTATCTACGATGCTAACGGCACTGTCGTCGGCAATGTGACCGAGGCTACCTTCCTTCCCAATGGTACGTTGAAGTACACCCCGACAATGTTGGAAAAGCGCGAAGCACTCAGCCATGACTACGCCCTTGTCTGCGCCGAGAATAGGGCCACAACGAATGCCTGCGCTGGTGACCCCTGGAAATACACATGCAACTCGAAAGGCAAGGTCACCCGGAAAGGGAAATCTTCGAAGATTTGCAAGGATTCTTGTCACTGCGTCAACCTCAAGCCTAGGCCGAAATGCATCATCTCACCCCATGTGCGGGTACACTGTCACATGGTGGAAGACACCATCTATGACGAAAACGGCACCATCCTAGGCAATTCCACCAATGCTGTCGTACATTCAAATGGCACATATGACCTGACCATGCTGTTCGCTCAAGATTCGAACGTTGGAGACAACTCTAAGACGGCGATGCTCCCGGCATCAAGCACAGTAACCCACTCACCTGTTCTTGCTGCAACGCCTACGTCAGGGTCACTGGGCGGCTTTTCAGGGTTTACGGAGGTGGTTGCCAGGGATGCGAACAAAGCAGTGAAGGTGTCGATCCCAGTTGTGACAAAAGTGTCGGCTGTCCCTACCACTACGCCATCAAACACTCTGGACTTCTCAACACCCACCCAGTTGCCACATGAAAATGTCGCACTATCATCGCGGTCGGGACCTGACTTCACCCCGCAATCTCTGGCTACTGAAGGCAGATTCGATGTGCAGTGCGCGGCTCACGGCGAATACAGCCAATCTTTAACCGACCGCTGCATGTCTGCGCATTATACTTGTCTTCGCATTCCCATCTACCCGTTGGCTATGTTGCACCATACAGGCACGCCGGATGCGGAGTGCTCTGCTAAATGCAAATGCCTAGCTTCCTTTCCCAAGGCCATGGTCGCGGATACTGCGGATCTGGCTCCGGCGGCAATTTCCTCAGCAACTGCCTCCCCTGGCGACTCTCTCCAACCTGTCCAGTTCGAGTGCTGGTCCAAAGACAAATACAACGACACTCTGACACAACACTGCTGGAACAACGATTATGGTTGTCTGGAGCTTGTCCACGACACTTGGCTTTACACTCTGCACCACTGGGGTGATGAGATCCCGGAGTGTACGCATAGCTGCCGTTGTCCGAACCTTACCCGCCGCGATGCCCGACAGTCGATCCATCCGAAGCCCTTCCTCCCAGCAAGAAATGACCCTGTCCAGTCTCCCAACAAGTACAAACTCAGCTGCGGCAATCTCCATGATGGTCCTGAGTTCTGCTCTAGCGCCGATCTAGGCTACTTCTGCACCGCCAACATGACTGTGGCACGCAACACTACTGTGCACAACAATGACGCTGCTTGGTGTGACGCTTCGTGCAGCTGTATCTTCGCTGACGCGGTCCCTTGCATCAATAGATGGGGCATCCCACGCTGTCGTGAACTGGTTGATGGCACAGTCCGTCACGCTGACGATATGAAGGTCGTCCTGGCATATACAAGCAATGTGGTTGTGTTGGCCAATGGTACGCTCTTGATTGACAAGGCGCAAGGTGGATTTTTCCCGTTTGTCGCGACCGAAAGCGGCTTTTTGCATGATGGTAACGGAACCAGCATGGTGTTCAAAGTGTCAACAAATTGGAACGGCACTGGAAACGTCTAAGGCGACCTTGAAATGGCGTGTTCTCGAGCCTCTTTACTCATGCACTCGTCCATCAAGGAGACACAGCACATACGTCCACAAAGACTTCAACGACAAGGACGTCTACACATGTTTGTTTACGTTGGAGAAAAAATCGTCCTTGCGGGGGAGTACAGTCACCATCCCCTCAATGCTGGCGCGCATTGGATGATGAGACTGGCGTGATGAAGATGACGTGGTCATCATGGTTTCTGGAGATAGCATAGACCAGAAAGCAAAACGGTCCAGAGCATAGATCCGGACACGACGAAATGAAAATGAGAAATTGAAGTCTCTGAAATTCCCAGCGTTCCTTGTCTCGTAGATGTCGCCAAGTGATGAGAAATTCCGAGCGGTATTCTTGCTCTGTTTGCTTTCGGCCGACTGAAGTGTAGACTGTGTACGAGTAGCATGGACCTGCATTCACCAGTCGTCCTCTTTAGCCACCAGGCCGCGTGGCGGTAAGTTAGACGACGACCATTCGCTCCCGGCTTGGATTATCTATCTCGCCTCGGCCATCTCAGGAATGGGCCTCAACCCCTTTGCCTGCTCCAGCATCGACTCCTCCGTCTGCGTCCGATCGGCATACTCGCGGCCCGCGTCCCTCAACCGCCTCGCCTCCTCCTCCAGCCAGCGCGCCTGGACCCTCAACCGTTCGGGGACCACGCGCCTCCTCTGGCCCGTGACCTTCCACCCCGTCAGCGCCTCCTGGCCGCCTAGATCCTGGATGGTCTTGCGCTCCACGAGCGAGTACGGCTCCTCCGCCACGGACGACTCGCGGTCAAAGTTGAACGGCTCGACCAGCGAGACGGGCGGGTTGGTGATGATGCGCGGCAGACGGCGGCCGTTCTTGGACGCCGTGTGCAAGGTGAGCGGGTGCAGGAGGATGACGTCGCCTTGGCGGCCTGTCATTTCGTGAAAGGACGCGTCGGCGCGGTCTTGGATGGTGCTGTTGAAGAATGCGAGGCCCGGGTCCGTGGCGGGCGTGTCGTCGGTGTCGTCAGTGACTGGCGTCATGTGCGGTGTTACGCCTTCGGGGTGGTCGTACTGGTTGGAGATGAGAGTAAGTGTCAGTTAATTAAAAGTACTGAGCGTTGTGGTCGGTTGGTAGTTGGTAGATGGTAGTTGGTAGCGGTTTCGGGGTTATATTGCGTTTGTGCGCGCTGTGTGCCGTGTAGGCATGTACAACGTGCATAGTTTGCAGTGTACAGGGGACATATGATCCCAAAATAAACGGACCCAGGATCGCCTCGTCTCAGGGACCACACCCAGGACATTGCTCACTCACCAGATGCTTGCCTATCCTCGCGGGTCCTTCGCTGCAGATCCACGTGCCTCCGCCGTTGGGGTGGATGTCGGTGAACAGAGGGATCACCAGGAGAGCCTGCTCCGGCGAATCGAGGAAGTGGATGAAGAAATCACCTGCGTGGGTTGTGGAAGTGCCCAAGTAAGTGAAACGTCCAAGAACGTGCCAGCAACATTTGCATAGAAAATGTAATTAGACGTCCATGCATCCTTGTACGTCGGTGGTCGTGCCAGTAAATGAAAATGACTGTAACTGTACCTGCACGCACGCACACACACGAACGCGCGCACACACACACACAGAGAGAGAGAGATACTCACTCACCATCGACATGCCACCCGTCCAGTTCTTTCGGACCGTACTCCTTACCCTCGCCCTCGGGAGTGCCCAAGTTGACGATAAACGAATCACTCCACGTCTTGCTCATCTCGGTGACGCGGTCCTCCCCGCCGACCAGATCGCAGATGGCATCCCACGCCTTGGGCGCAAAGTCCGGGACCTGCAACCGGCGGTGTTCGGGCATGTTGGTGCGTTCGCGCGTCCACGTCGTCTTGTCCGCAGGGTCCATCCCCAGACGGGTCCACACGTCTTTGGTCCATTCGTCCGAGGCTTCTTTGGAGAAACACTGCTCGATCACGACGTAGCCGTGTTGCATGAAGTGGGAGACTTGGTCGGGCGTCAGGACTTTGTAGCCTGTCGAGCCCGTCGAGCCAGCCGGGGGGGCCATGGATCGTGGGAGGGGGCAGGGGGGTGGGGGGAGGTGTGTCAGCCTGGTGCTTGGACTGTGAGTGACTGTGTGTGTGTGTGTGTGTGTGTGTGTGTGTGTGTGTGTGTGTGTGTGTGTGTGTGTGTGTGTGTGTGTGCCTCTCGCTCGGTCGCTCGACTACAGTAGGTAAGTTTTGCGTCAGTCGGCGAAAGGATCAAATCAGTAGATGGTGGTGGAATGTTGTGTCAATAGCCTTATATCCTTTGCAAAGCTACAAGACGTAATATCTAAAGTACTTCTGCGGCGGTGGTGGCGATGCTGTTTAAAGCTGGAGTCGATGTGGCTCAAATCAAGGGATTGTCCATTACATACCTACTGTCCCTCGTCTTGGGCTCGACAGGTACGAGGTACAAGGCCTGCAGGGAAAGATGCTCTTGACCGGTTCAAAGAGATCAACCAAGTAGCCGCCGTTAGTCCCAGACTTGATCCTTCATTGGTCCTCTCCATCCGGAGAAGAAAAGGACTTTCGGCAGGGCCTCTCGTCTGCGGATGCCGGGACCCTTTCCGAGCGCATCTTCTGCCTGATCCGCTTACAACAGCGTCGACGACCAGCCGATGTTCTTCCAGCGGTCGCAATTGACAGGCTCATGATGATCAATTTAGCCGTTTGCCATTGAATAGGATCGAGGTTTAGCCGACGAGCCTATGAACGTGAAAGATGGGCTGACACAGTAAGAGAGTATGAGTTCATGCTGCAGCAGTAGGTACTTTCCCGCTTCCCCGACGAGTACCACGCAGGTCCTTCAGAGATATCGAGCATCAATACCATCGCTGAGAACGCTCAATGCTTTTCATCTACCAGTCGTCATCCTCGTCCTTGTCCTTATCCCTGCCACCCATGGCACTCTGCCTCGCCCTCAACGCCTCGGCTAGCCCACCTGCAAGACTGCCGCCTCCAATGCTGCTAGGAGTGGCGCGGCCTGAATTCGTTCCACTGTTGGTGCCCAGACTCATTGCACTATCTCTGGCGGGAGATGCGTCCGGTTTTCTCGCTGCTGGCCGTTTGGCCGGTGGTGCTGGCGGGGTGGGTTTAGCCCTAGCAGCCACGGGTGGAGCTGCGGGTTTTGCATGCCCTCCGTTGACCACAACCGACGGCGTAGGGACCGCTCGAGGAGGGGCAGCCACGGGTGGTGGAGGAGGAGGCGCCGCACGCGCTTGCTCCATCTCCTCCACATATGCTGACGGAGTCCAGCCTTGTGCATCGGTCCGAGGGTTCTTGCACAGCCACCAGCCTACACTAATGTTAGTATATACGACACAACTTCAAAACCTTGGTTGACGTACCATTGTTCTCCTTCTGCAGGATCTCTATGACCTCTCCTGCCTTGATCGACAGCTCATTAGCATTGGGTGAGTTGAAGTCGTATTTGACCTTAGCTTGCGGCTTCGATGGCACCGCTGCCGGAGCTGCTGCTGGGGGAGGGGGTGGCGGCGGAGGAGGCGCGGCTCGTCCGAACGAGGATGCTGATTCGTTTCGAGCATGCGACGCAGCGCCATCTATATGTGTAGGGGTTGCATGACTTGTGGCAGGCATAGGTACTGCACGTGGTTGCGCTGCAGCAGGAACAGGTACAGCGCGAGGTTGAGCCGCTGCTGGTCTGGCAGCGGGGACGGGACGTCTAGCAGCTGTTTTTGAAGGCTGGCCGCCTGGACCACCAGGCCGGAGCAGCTTGCCACTCGTGATAGGCTTGGCAACTGCTTTGCCGCGTGGAGTGGGCCTTGAGACTGACGTGGGCAATTCTCCCTGTCCGACATGAATGGTACCTGATTTGTACACATCGTCTCGTGGAACGGCAGGATCTTTCTGGACTTTGACCACTGCGGGTTTGCCCGGCTTCTTGTTGTAGTCAATCTGGGGTCCAATTTTCAAGTTCATTCCACCGACTGCAACCGTCTTGAAATGCAGGAAGAATTCGGTCTTGAAGACACAGTTGATCAGCGGATCTGGCTCTTGAGCAGATCCGACACCGAGAGCAAACCAATCATCACGCAAGTTCGAGCACGAAATGTACTTGATGGCGCCGATAGGAATTGTCCTCTCTGCTGAGATTTGGAGCTGATTGTTCACGACGGCTTGGACGATGATGTAGACCGCCTTTGGGGTCAACACGAGAATCCGAGGCATTCGTTGCGATGATCGTCCGAATTTGGTGACCAGCAACTCGCATCGGGCGGAGAAAGTGACCCGTTCCTGAGGGTTAAGGTGGACCGAATCCCTGAGCACTCGGCCTTGACCACCTGGCATGTTCAGACCGAGATAATCACCGAAGAAGCGCCTTGAGCCAAGCAAACTGTATCTGCGTCGTTCTTTGCGGCCGGCAAGGAGTCGGTGTCCTTGATCTCGGAATTCAATCTCCTTGACGCCAATCTTTGACTTGCGCCAGAACCTTTGGATCCTCGTGGCGGCTTCTGCGCGGTATCTCAGGTAGTTCCGCCAAGCTCTCTGAATGCGGACTGCCATGTTGTGCCAATATCGATCCCGCATATGCTCAAGGCCAAACAACGTCTCCGGCGTCTTGATGAAGGCTTTGGTAACACCCATCTGATATTCCTCTTTCGGGATGCTTGTGTCCTTGAAGATGATTTCCGAGGCGGTTCTGACGTCTCCCGTATAAGTGTACTCTCCTGCATAGGATAATTTAGGCGAGAGCAGAGCAAATCTTTCGACAAATTTATCGAAGGTTTGACGGTAAGCGAAACCGGCTCTTCGGATACGAACGTTTTCTTGTAAACCCAGATATTTGATCTGATGGAGCACATTCGGTTCGTTGTATTCCTTGGGTGACTTGTTCTCGTTGGGCTTGATGGTTCGGATATAGGACGGTTGTGCTTGCATGAGGGTGTCGACCAGCTCGTTTGCGGATGCTTTGATCTTGTCACCGGCCGTGGGAGGCCGTCGCTTGTCATCTTGGTCGACCTGATTTGGGAACAGCTCGTGGACGAAAGTGTTGGAGCTCTCTCCGACCAGGTTCAGCAGATCCTTCAAAAGCTGGTCCTTGTTCTTGTCTGTCATGCCCGCGACTTGATAGCTCACATCACCCGCGTAATGCTTGATTATGAACTGGCCTTGTCGGTTCTCGAAGTTGGGATTGTTGGAGAGGAAATTGAGACGGCCGACGAAGGTCTGGTCAGCGGCACCGGAGTCGGCATGTGCAGTTGCGCAGGCGTCGTTGAGAGCAGCGAACACGCCCGGTGGTCGCTTATCTTCGATCAAGGAGCACACGACCTTGTTGTCAAAGTACTTGATCGGTGTCCACTGAATTTGCTCCCGCTCATATTCCTCTTGTTCAGACTTCAGGGTCAACTGAATGAAGATCTGCTGCAGTTTCTCATTGACGTAGTTGATGCATAGCTGCTCGAAAGAATTCTTCTCGAAGATTTCAAAGCCGTAAATATCGAGAATCCCAATGGTGTTCTTCACCACGCCCTGCGATCGTAACGAGACATTTGTCCGATTCACAATCCAGTCAAACAAGTTGAAGTAGATGGCTTTCGCAAGAGCATCCCGGACAGCGCTGGCCTGTACCGGGTTCAGCGGTGACTCATAGATGGAACCTCGCCGACCTCCACCTCGAGCAGTTTCCACAATCCTAACAGTCAATGCTTTGTGAACATGTGCAGACTCGACTTCTAGCAGGTAGGCGACAAAATCGACGACCGACTGGTCCGCAATATCAACGCCTCCTTGGTCATTCTCTCGAAAGGTGATATTCCCGATCCATAGAATTGCCGCAAGAAGGCGAAAGATATTGTCCTGCTCAGCCTGTGTCAGACCAATAATCTGCATGGCTTGCAGCGTTTCCCGGAAGTCGCTCGCATCGTCGATTCCCGGCACGTCGAAGCATTTCGATTTGCTTGTGTAGACGTATGACTGAGGCTGCTGAATGCCGTAGGTGTCCCTATACTCTTTTGGCGCGGCTTTTGTAAACTGGTAGAAGATGTGGAAGTTCCTCTCGTTTGTGATCTGTCCGACCACCCTGGTCTTCTCCAGGAGGTAGTTGGTGACCTTGGCCCCCACGGGCTCGCCTTGCTCGTTAAACTCAAGCTCGAGGTATTTTCCGAAACGCGAGGAATTGTTATTGCGCAGGGTTTTGGCGTTACCGAACGATTCGAGGAGGGGGTTAGTGGCGAGGACCATGTCCTTCGTCCGCTGAATCCTGGAGTCGGTGCCTCCGGATACGCTAGCAATGTATTGCATGAGGCGTTTGGCAGCCTCGGTTTTGCCTGCGCCCGACTCGCCAGAGATGATGACACACTGGTTGTCCTTGTAGGCTTTCATGTTGTAGTAGGCTGACTCGGCGACAGCAAAGACGTGGGGAGGCACCTCGAGCCGGTTCCGCCCTCGATATGACTGCAGGACTTGTTCGGTGTAGATTCCCAGGTCTCGGAAGGGATTGACCGACACCAGCACGTGGCCGATGTAGGTGTATATCTCGCCATGCTCGAACCGCTTCTTGAGGTTGTCGTTGATGGCTTCATTGGAGACCTTGCTCAGCAATGTGAGATCCGAGACGCCCACTTCCTTCTTCTTTGTGATCTCAAACGTGGCCTTTTTGATCTGTGGCTGCCCGGAATCGGCCTGGGCTGACCTCCCGCCGCCGAAGAGTGATGCTTTCGGTACGCGGGATGTCTTTCCTTCGCGGCGCTTGGTTTGACCCTGTGCACTGAGCGTGAGTGTGTGTAGCACAAGCGATCATAGTGGGGTACTGACCATGATTAGGACATGCGGCGCGTAGAGGTGAGTGAGATCAGAGAGCGTCGGACAGCAATCGCAGGACGAACATGCACTTTGTGTTGGAGAAGTGCGACGGTGTATGTAGAAGCGAAGAATTACGAGATCAGAGCTTGGAGGCCTTGTCCTGGCCACGATCAGATTTCAGATTACACGAGTGGGCTGTAACATGTTTCTAGATGCTTGCTGCTTGCGACTGCTTAGGTCGACTATGACATACAAACGGCGC